GGCATTGTAAAAGAAAGTTGGGGGGAATGTACTAGGATAGAGGTAAGAGAGATGATGGGGAAAGATGGGGTTATGAACCCCAGAAAGAAGGAGGAAGGTTCCCAAGGTTGGAAGGGCCGAGGGTCTCGATTAGGAAAGAGCCTCGGCTTAAAACGGCTGGCCAATCAGGAAAGCGCAATGGCCCCGGGGAACTCGGAACTTCCATTTCCCGACCTCGGGACCTGCCCAGGTGCCCTGGAGACCCCTGGGGCCCCCTTTTGACTTATGGAAGCCGCAATTTTATACGGAATTGTTAATTACCGATGCTTGATTCATCAGGTTCACCCCGCATAATCTATGAAGTACTCATTTCGATATGGGGAAGCGGGGAGAAAACGCACAATTTTGACGGCTTTCATGGTTTAACCTGTCCCGAGATCAGCCCGATCATCGGATCTTAGAATGATGAGATCATCGGTGGTAGCACTCTACGCTCTGGGAAATGACCTCCCGAGGTCGGTTTGAAGATTTTTTCCTTAAGCTTGACACTTGACAATGCTGCTAATCTGTTGAAAATTATACCCCGGTCATGTGGACAGCTTTTCAATCGGACAAAAAAGGAGAAGGGGGAAAATGAGTCGCTCACGTGAAACGGAGTACAACCTTGCATACGGGATGAGCGAAAAGTCCGAGATAAATAATCGGATCTGATAAAAAAAAAGTTCCCGAATCCTTCTCACATGTCAACATGTGAGAGTTTTTATCTATTCATTGTGCCTGACCTTTGACACCCGCGGCAATCCCAGCCACGTGATGAGAATCGCACCGGACAGGGCAACGATAAATGGCTGCAGCACTTTCACCCCCTTGGCTTGTGCAAGCACACCGACCGCGAAAGGGAGAATTGCGGCTCCGCTACCTCCAAACGCAGCGACAAATCCTATCGAGGTGACATGCAGGTGCCGAGGAAGAAGCTTGGTAACCATTACAACCACGCCGGGGAAAAGGGGGCCAAGAAAGAAGCCTTGCAAAGACACTGCCACGGCCGACACATAGAACTGGGGTACAAGCCATAGAACCAGAGCAAACCCCATGGAGCAAACTATGTAGACCTGGTGGGAATCAGTTTCGTTCTTTCGCAAGACAGCTTGATGCTCACCGAAATTGCGACTTTCTCGCCGACCCGGGGCGTCACAAACCCCAAAATTACCCGTCCAACCGTGATACCTAACCAGAACCCAGTAGCAGTCATACCGCTAGAAAAAGCACTACCTTGTCGGACTCGGATCATAAAAGTAACAATCCACCCTCCCAGCGCGACCTCTACCCCAACGTATCCCAGCAAGAACAATGCGCAGAGCCAGGTTACCCGGGCAGCTGGGCGCTTGAAGAGTGCATCTCTCAAGCCACCCTTTCTGTTCTCAGCTGATGGCACGTTAGATGCACGGAAATCGGCGGCGGTTGATTTCCAGAAGCATGCGCCAGAAACCACCAATTCGATGGCCGCACATCCGGTCTAAATTCTTAAATCGTGGTCAAATTCATTTGGAGGGACTTTCAGCACTTACCATGACATAATAAAAGTAATACCACGGCAGACCACCCTTGGCAATCATTGATGTTGCGACCAGCGGACTAATGACTGCACCGGCTCCATAGATCCCATGCAACACTCCCAGCAACTCGTTTGCATTGGCCATGTTACCAATCCATGCATTCCATGCAGCATCTTCTAGGCCGTTTCCCAACCCTGCAAAGATGAATGCGACCACTAGTACCGGATACGGTGGATGAACACAGTTGATAACATAGGCAATGAGATGGCACGCTGGCCCGATAATGGCCACACCCCGTTGACCTAGAGTATAGTGGATGCGGTGATTAAGGAACGCGGCGGCTGTATAGCCTACTAGAGGTGACAAGAAAACGAGAGACACAATGGTGTACGATAGGTGGTAGTATGATTCCAGCTGTATGATGGATGAGACAGATTCCCGTCAATTGTAGAGGAGTTCAGCTTACGTATGGAATTAGAGCCTGCGAGTAGTCAGCAGAGACATCGCAACATTGGAATCAAACTGTGCTCCTTTCGAGCCATCTCAACTTACACCATAGGCTGCGTCGTTCGCACCCATGACCAGGAATGACCAGAACGTCGCAAAGGTTCGATGAATATTGACGCGAGACTGGTTCCATTTCTCCAACAACGGAAAGCTTTCAGGACCTAAAGGTGAAATTGTATCTGACTGGCCATGAGGTAAAGTCTCAAGAGCGATAAGACTTGCATCGCGCGAAGTTTGAACCTCACAGGTAGTTGCCATAGCGTGTGATTCAGTGCTGTGGGAATTCTGTTCTTAACCAGAACAATAATCAGCAGTGACAGTCTCCAAGATAATTCTGGCCACAAATACGAAGGCTCCCTTGGCGTGGTGTGATTCAGCCCGTATTTGCCGGATTCGGATGAGGGGATGCTGTCATGCGGAGTACCCCACATTACGTCGGCAGAACTTCGGGGGAGGATGATAGTTATTGACTAGGTTATTGGACGCAATTCTCAGTTCTGTTTGCTTGGACAATTCTTGTGTTTGTTATATATATGCGCTAACAGCTCATGCACCGAGATATTGTTTTGGTAGATGAGCTCCATCAATGAGTTGCTCTGAAGGCCTGAGTACTCATATTCCAAAAACACTCTATAATAAGAGCTCTGAGAATTGGATTTTCGATCGTTGTATAAAGCCTATGTCGCTTGAGACCCTATCGAGTACCTGGTACATTTGCCTCAATAACTTCCATTCATTAGAATTGACATATCCAAGAACAAACCATTAGACGCTGAACCATCCGCGAATTCTATATATCATATTCCACTACTCACGCTTCATTTGAAAGACCTTCCCCCCCTGCCATACGAACTCGCGGCACGTCTTGGATTCTACGGACGTTGTTTTTCCACCAATCAGAATATATTCATTTACATATAAGCCAACCCCAAGGTGCGGTTAACCCAGCATATTCTAACAGCAATGAGTTACGTTAATCCCATCATCCCCGGGTTCAATCCGGACCCATCGATTGTTCGTGTCGATAAAGACTTTTTCTTGGTCACATCCACCTTTGAATACTTCCCTGGTGTTCCCATTTACCATAGCCAGGATTTGATTCAATGGACATTGATAGGCCATGCATTGACGCGACCCAGCCAGCTTCAGATTCATACCCCAGAACCGGGAGGAGGTGTGTGGGCCACCACAATTCGTTATCACGCTGGGGTTTACTATATTATCGCTGCGAGCTTTCAGCGTTATCGTCCTCAACAGGATGACCGAGTTTGGCCACAGGGATTTTACATCAAAACGACCGATATCTGGAATGAGAAGACATGGTCCGATCCGGTCTATTTTGATCAGGTTGGGTTTGACCAAGATGTGAGTTTTAATCAAAGATATCACCGCCTGCATGGAGCACGAGAGTGACAGTCGAGTACTACAGCTTTTTTGGGATGACGATGGAACCGTATATCTATCGTCCACCTATAGAAAGATCCAGCCAACTACTGGTGCTAAGCTGAAAGATTTTGCGATCCATATATGTACTGTTGATCTCGCCACCGGGCATTCTACATCCGCGCCTAAATTGATCCGGGAATCTTCTTCTGGTGTTGCCGAGGGATCACACATTTTCAAACGCGGTCGATATTGGTATTTGTTCACAGCGGAAGGTGGTACTGAAAGTGGACACTGTGAATGGGTGAACCGCAGTGAGGTCAGCCCATTGGGGCCTTGGGAACTCGGGCCAAATAACCCTCTCTGGCGCAATGGCGTTGAGGATGAAGTGCAAAACACCGGGCATGCCGATCTGGTTGAGGACACCAAAGGGCAATGGTGGGCAGTGGTTCTGGGTGTTCGTCCTTCAAGACGGGGAAACATGTGGGAGGACTCAGTGCTAGGTATGCTGTCTCGAGGTACTGGCTAGTTATCATACTAACCTTCCTAGGCCGAGAGACCTTTCTAGTCCCTTTGGAATGGGAAGACGATTGGCCTGTGATCAACGGAGGACAGAAAATCAGTCTGAATTCCCATGGACCTGGTCTTTATGAATTTCATACGCCGGTCTCCTGGAGAGATGGGTTTTCGAACCCGCAAATGCAAGTTGGATGGTATCGAAAAAGTACGCACTGAACAGCGAACCTGCCTGAGCCTAGCTGACCAGAAAATAGACACGCCCTTTGTAACTGACTACTCACTTACCGAGCGCCCAAACTACCTTCGTCTCTATGGTGGACCTTATAACCTGTCAGTGCCGGCCAGTCCAACCATGTTCCTTCGCAAGCAAACCCACCAGCTCTGCAGGTGGGAAACAAGGCTTTCCTTTCAGCCGACGGTAGACGAAACTGAGGCTGGCACAGTGGTATGGTTAAATTATTTTACATATAGCAGTATCGGTATTAGGAAGGATATCGAGGGCCGTTTCATCCGTTTTCGACCATCAGAGGGCGACATTGTGGAGCATAGACTGGATCCAAAAACTGCTATCACTCTCACAGTTGACTGTGGCACCGAGTATCGATTTGGATATCGGGAAGGCACAGAATCTGACATCCACTGGATCGGCTCAGTTTCTAACAGTGCTGCTACGGCAGCGCCTCCGGTTGGGGCCAACTTTACTGGCATGATGCTGGGTCTATATGCGTTTGGAGAGCGTCAGCGATGCCTGGCCCCAGCTGATTTTGCGTACGCAGAATTTAGATAAGCCAATAATCTTCCTCTAGCGGTGTCGTTAGCCACGTATATTAGGAAATATGTGAAATGCCCAGAACGTCGATATATCTTCCAACATCTCACTACTAAGCTCACGCGGACCCACTTTGTCCACAGGTGACCCTACGTCATCTCTTAACTCCGTCAGCAATCTCCGATCGCCAAGCAATCTGATTGGGTTTCTTCCACAAGTGGCACTCCATCTTCAAGACCGTCGTCCCCTCCTAAGCAAAGCGCGACACCCTAGTACTAATAACCAGAATGACCGAAACCTTGAAAACTGACCATCTAATCTCCATCTCCGATGATGCCGAACAAGTAACGGATGACTGGTCTGGGTTGAGTGACCCGACCGAACGCCGTCGGCGACAGAACCGCATAAACCAGAGGGCTTACCGTACGTCACTTCCACTGTACTCTGTTCAGTAGGAGCTAATCGTTGCCAGGAAAGCGTAAGCGATTGCCATAAACCAAAGACGTCCACCTCAAGAGCCTAGTAACACCCCCTCGTTCGACCTCTACCGTCCAATCACAAGACCGTTCTTCCCAAGACAATCCGAAAGTCAACTTCTGTCGCAACCCGAACTCTTACAAAGTATTCTGGCGACATTCGCCAAGTCAGCGTATGAAAGTTACGCACGGGGGGACCCGACCGCCGATCATCTTATGACATTAACTAAGGTTAACGTCTTTCGAGCATTCGCCGAGAACTTGCGATTAATCGGTTGGTCGGAGTACCGGATGGATGACGGTGCTATTTCACTTTTCAATACACCCCTGCCACAAAAGCCACCTACCTCGGACGATAACAGCCTCATTCCGGCCAACCTGCAGCCAACTCGAATTCAGAAAAAGATATGTCATCACCCATGGCTGGACTTCTTCCCTTTACCCAAGATGTGCGATAATCTCATCGAAGCCGGGGATAACTGGGATGACGAGGAGCTCTGTCACGATATCATGGGTTTCTGGGGCGAGTCAATGGTGGATGCAGGGATGCTAGTTTGGGGGGAGCCTTGGAACGTGCAGAACTGGGAGGTGACCGAGCCATTCTTGAAGAAATGGCAATGGGTTGTTCGAGGGTGCCCCGAATTGATGGATGCGACAAATAGTTGGCGTGCTCGTCGAGGGGAGAGACTAATATTCCGCTATATCTGAATCAACATAATTAAAACCTGAACCACCTTGAGCGATTTACCGAGCAGCCTATAGCGGTAACTGCGTTATGTCCTATCTATCAGGCAGGAGTGTGAATGTACATGTGTCACGCAAGCTCATGCCTTCAAATCAAGTTTCTCCTTTCTGCCCCATAGTTCCAACCATTCTTTAACCGGGGCACCGGATTTAGCCAGCTCATTCACGCATATGTTCCGCACATAGTCCCCTCGAATTACCCTCATGGCATTACGGATATTGCGAGGTGATGGAGATTCTAGGGCTCTCGTCACCCAATGACCGTCAGGTGCATCTAATGCCAGCACGATGGGGTATGTCATCTCGCGGTTGTGCAAGTCCTCGGCCACAGAGCCCTTCAGCTTTGCATACTCAGAAGAATAAACATTCTTGCAGTCATTTTGGAGCTGTGAATGCCAGCTATGTAAAACGTCAAATCTGAATCGCAACATGAATTTCTACGGAGAGTCTGACTTACGCAACTGTGGTCAAAGTCTCATCCATAGAATCGTTCTCTAGGACAATGTGACCTAGAAGACGGAATAAGGAACCAGTCTTGAGAGACGCCATTCTTCGATATGCCGCGGCCCTGTCCACGGTAGATATAGGGAAGGCACTGATTCCATCCCTGCGCCAAATGAGGGATATATCTTGACCTTCAAGGATATCCTGGAGATCCTGCATCAACCATGGTGCGAGGTTCGGGAAGTCCTTTGTCGTTTTGTTGAGAACCTGGGTGACTCTGTAATAGGCTCGGTTTGCTGTTTCTGATGGGCCGTATATTTTGTGAGCAGCGAGTCGTCCTTTGCGGTAATCGCTTCCGTCAGAGATCTAGAGACACCTAATCAGATGGTCTGTCCCGAACCCATGCCACTAAAGCCGAGAGGATCTTGGGCACTCACATCATCAACCAGCATTAGGCAAAGGTGTATAGCATCCATAATCTCCAACACCATCTGATACTTAGCAGGGTCATGATTATGAAGGGTCGGGGATAGCTTGTGGACAAATGCCCTCCAATGATGCTTGCCGTAGATTTCTCGAAGATAATCATAAGGGCATTCAAGCCTAGTAATTCTCTCGGGAATTTTTTGTCCGATCAGGTGGGTCTTTTTATCCCACCATCGAGGGATGTGAATATGGTCGACAATTAGATAAAGGAAGCTGCTCACAGCAACCATACCCAGGATAGGGCTAGCCTCCCTGAGAAAGAATCCGAACACACCGTCAAAGAGGCTCATGATGTAGGAGGGATATGAATCGACTTTCAATAATGAAGGGAGCAGGGTATAGGAAAGAATAATCAACATTCAAACATCAATACTTTCAGGAATTCACTTGATGATATTGTTGCGCCAATGAATCATCAGGTGGCAGACTTCGTATGCAGAAAACAACAGGCGAAATACTACGTTCACAATTGACGTCGCCGCTTCTGCGCTTACTCCGGTAGTATCTCGTACACGCATCCCAGATATAGTAATATATCTTGGTTAATGACTAGTCTTAGAAGTTTCTGCAGGTCAATCTCAAACAGACCGAAGGGAAGCGATGGACTTTTGCTTCCGGGGCTCCGAAAGGTCGCATATAGACCTGCGGTAATTTTCCCATCTAGCAGTGTCATGCAGGCGTTGCATCATGCTGAAATGAGGTTCATTCTCGCATCTTGCAGGTGTACACGAATCCTATATCATACATTATGACGGTGAAATCCGATTCCGATAGTGCATTGCAACATTGGAATTGTGTCTAGAGTAAGATGGATATAGTCTGATATGTCGGGATGGTCTATACGTCGTTCAAAAAGGGACCTATGCAATGTCCATCATACCTCTATGCTGCAAGATTGCATGGGAGGTTGTCTATGGCCTGCTTTATCCCTCCAAAAGTCAGCTTGAACGGGCACTGATCATTTTAGAGTTGGTCATCGACTTTGGCATTACATATGCCGCAATTATCCTTTCGCCACGAGAATGGACCTATGCGCCACTAGTCGAGCAGAAACTCCGTAGCATCCCTACGCTGGCGTTCTCGTGTGGGTTGGCTTTTGCTGAGCGTTGACGGTCTCTGTCAGCTTCTCTGTTGTGGAAGTACCCATGGTGCTTCCTACACTCTATACTATGAAGTCTATTGATTCAAAAGCTTACGCTGACACATAACAGGATTTTACGCTTCTTTGGTTGGTGTTGATCGGGTTCGCGATTATGCGCCGGAATCATTCGCATGGGTTAATAGTCCCCTCATACTATAGATTGTAGATGTTTTCTAATGGTGGATAGTTCTTATGGGCTATGTTACCGGTATGTTAAGCGGCCAGAGGTTTGGTACGACACGGACGGAAAGGTCAAATGATATGTGGACAGGGGGATATGATTACATCCATAGTCATAGTATTGAAAGAAAATGCAAACGAAATGAGAGAACGAGAAGAGCAAATTTCCTTTCGTTTGAACCTTCGAGTATGTTACAGCACTATCCTCCAGGGCTGTAGATAATGGATACAGTAGATAATCCTGCAGTAAGTAGGTAGGTCGTTCAATATATGTAGCCCGCTTCTAAATGCCAGTTAGCATTGGCTAGTATTTTAAACACAGCCTGCCGGTCCTTTATGTACGTGGACAGGAGTCCCAGGAAAGTAGAAATTAATCGGTCTCAAGCATACGCACAGGAAGGCGTTCATATTTCATATATATTGAAATCAGTGTATCCATCTTAGCGGGTGCCCCTCTATCTAATACCCGAGATGAGTAAGTCAGAGTTCCAAGTCATCATTGTGGGCGGATCAATCGGAGGCTTGACCCTGGCACATTGCCTACAACGGGCCGGGATTGATCATGTTGTTCTCGAAAAAGCGAGAAATCCAGCACCCCAGATCGGGGCATCAATTGGCGTTTCCCCAAACGGAGCTCGTGTTCTCGATCAACTCCAACTGTACGATCTGGTCGAGGAACAGATTGAGCAGCTAAGCACAGCAACTATCCGCTATCCCGACGGTTACAGCTTTAAAACGTCCTTTCCCAAGGTCATAAGTGAAAGGTCAGTCGTACTCCATCCCATCCTTGAAAAGATTTCTGATGGCTCTAGTGGCACTACACAGGTTTGGGTACCCAATCGCATTCCTGGACCGGCAGAAGCTGCTTGAAATCCTCTATCAGGGCTACCCAGATCATCGCAAAATTTGCCTGGACGAAAGAGTGACAAAAGTTGAGACTTGCGGTGATACGGCTATAGTGAGCACGGCTAAGGGCTCTGTCTATCGAGGCCACCTCGTCGTCGGCGCGGATGGTGTCCACAGCAAAGTTCGGCAGGAAATCTGGAACGCCGTCGAGAAGACCAGCTCGAGAGTGGCAATCGAAAGATCCAGTAAGCGGAAATGAGCAGCATTTTCTGGTTCGCATGGGGACTGAACACTGCACAGGTCTAAAGGCGGAGTTTCGCTGTCTCTTCGGCATCTCCTCCCCCATCAAGGAGTTGATTATAGGAGAGCAAGTAAATGCTTTGTTTGATGGCTTCACTATTATTACGATCCATGGAAAAAAAGGGCGCGTGCATTGGTTCGTCATACAGAAGTTGGATAAGGAATACACATATCCAAACTGCCCTCGCTACATGGCAGGCGACATTGAAATTGCGGCAGAGGAACTGAGAAATGTAGTATTCTACAAAGACATTAAGTTTGGGCAATTATGGGAAAATCGGGAAACAGTCGCCATGACCGTCCTGGAGGAACATACCTTTGGAACCTGGCACCATGGCCGGCTAGTTCTTCTTGGCGACAGTGCTCACAAGATGACTCCCAATATTGGACAGGGCGCCAACATGGCAATCGAGGATGCTGCATCTCTGGCAAATCTACTTCAAAGCTTGCGGAAGGGCTTGGGCACTTGGCCTCCCACGGATGGACAGGTGAAGACTCTTTTGCAGCAGTATCGCAGTATTCGCCATGGCCGCGTCAACTCAGTCTACAAAAGCTCCCGTGTTCTGGTCCGCTTACATGCCAGAGATGGCCTAATAAAGACTCTCATTGGCAGATACTATGTGCCATATGCAGGCGACTTGCCGGCGTATATCGGATCCAAATCTATTGCCGATGGGGTGATGTGTGATTTTCTGCCTCCCCCAAAGCGCAGCGGGGATGGATGGGAGAGATATCGGACCAAAGGCTCAAGGTTGCCTCAAGCTAGCTTGTATGTCCTCATTTTGGCTATCCTCTATACTTACATGGATAGGGAATGGTTTGGCTTGCGGTAGAGATTGGTGGAAATAATGTTAGTGGTCACATAGTTTGATTTACCTGTTGCCATTACAATATCCTACGCACCTACACGGAACTACCGCTTTAGTATGGAGACAAGGGGCTCAGGTTTATTTTTCCAATAATTTTACATTGTTCCCTTTCACAGAAGATATCCGTTGACTGCACAGCGTACGACTGCATGGATGACGTTGAAACAGGCCATCTGTCTATGCCTGGTTCGTCAGGCTTCCACCAATCCATGGATGTTTTTGCTAGCTACATATATTAGCTATTCTGCGTTTTTTGATAGAGAATCAATCTTTCTCTCTCTCCCTGCCTCTCCGTAGTCAGATCATATACAACCTCTTTAAAGCATTGGGAAGTGTTAAGACAAATCAAAGGAAGTTTAACGTTAGATAGAACATTAGTTCCGATCTCATTCTCGCTATCCCGCATTGCGGACGTCACCTACGATTTCCAGAGTGCTGCAGTATCATTATGTTGGAATATGTGGGCTAGGACAACGTTGAATTGTTCTGGCTGGTATTTCAAGGACAGATGTATGGCTTGTGCGTGTGGGTGAGGCGATGATGCAGGTCGCAGCGTCATGTTCAATATGACACATTTTATTCGCTATGTTCACGATTCTACAAGGATAGCACAGACATAAATGACAGGCCATTGCTCTTTCCATTCGATCCGGGTGTCTTCGCCTCGTGGATGCCGCTTGGCTATCCAGCCTCACTTAGTTCGTCATTGAGCCCACCAAGAACCAGTCATTTTATCGTAATTTGACACCTCAGTTTTATACCGAGTATGCATCGCTCATCAACTTTCCTCCGGGTCACCCATACTCCTCGCGACCCTCTCAGCTAAAGATTACATGCGATTTTGCCTTGGCACGCTCCACTGCTGGACAGCTGCGGTTGATACTTTTCGAGGCGCTTGGTATAGTCCAAATCAGTTTGGGCCCACATTGCTTTCTGCGTGCATCTTCCATCGAGTCCATGGCGGGAGCAGCAGGTCAAGTCCATCAGGGTAGTATGCGCCTGATCTCTCAGGTGGCGCGACAAAGAATCAGCTGTTTTCCTTTGGAGAATATTCGGTTGACTGCGAATTGCCGTATCAGTTTGCTAGGGTTGAGGAGCGCACTGATCACGTTATACGGGGAGGCCTACCCTTTGACGGCTGATGGGGGTTATGCTCTGACATTACAAAGCTGGCTGCATTATATTGCGTGGATTTCTCAGACTATCTGAGCTGTGCAAGAAGGCCTGAGATCCTCTTTGAGGACATTTGGAGAAATAAGTCCTAGTATAGTCGTTGCCAAAGCGGAATTTGATGGCATTCCACTTAATATGCCTGAAGCTCTGCAATCCCATACCCCACAAGTGATTGCCAGAGTACCGATATGTGGGCCTAGTAGGCAGATCAATGATTGCAAGGCGTGACAGGCAGCATTTATCAATACGGAAACGTTTTGTCTCACTTTGCTGCACCTTGCACCTTGATGTAGTCATGCCGTTCACTCCTTCGGTTGATTCGTCAATAATCGACGCATTTAGCAAGGTGATAACAAATATCGACGTAGGTCCAGAGCTACTAATCCCAGGGACGGTGGAGACTGCTATGCATGCTGATATGCATGCTCTTCCATGCTGATTCGACAGACGACACGAACAATTGATTGTACGTCCGGTTGGTCCGCTTCGCTGAAAATAATTCTCATTTGGTGATTGGCCCTTTAAGATTCCACTTTTCTGCAATATCAACGTGCAGACCCGATAGATAATTGTCTAGTCATAGTATAATTTATTGCCGCGATAATGTTTCTTTTTTCCTTTTCCTTTTTTTCGCCGGAGACGTATATGGCTTTTTCTTGAGCTTTTGCATTTATCGCGTAGGGATGTCTATACATTGCTCTTTCGCTGCGCTTGAAATCACGCCTTCAGCCATGCGCCTGCATATCCCGTGGAGTCCTCGAAAAAGTTAGTGCAGAAGCTCCCGATCTTCCGCGGGGGTTCCAAGGTTGCAGCTATATGACGTGAAAGAATGCCCTTTCTTAATATGAAGGGTTGATCTTCTCGCGAAACTGGTGGAGATTTGTTTAGGGCTTTCTTGAAAGACATCAAAGGGAAACATGCTCGGCCTAACGGCAGCAAAAGTATTCGCTTTTATTTCCCAGTACCTTCCCCCGATAACATTTTTTACCAATCATAAGCCGGCTTCGACGTATCACCACAGAAGGAGAGACCTCAAAAGCTACCGAATACTCCAAGCCCAGACAAACCATACCCAACCAAACTTCAAGTTCAGTGATGAGAGCGACAGTGGAGCTTGCCAGATCACCGAACCGTACGAGAAGGTGTGGAAATTCTTTGCTTCCGTAACTGCAATATCCTAATCTTTCTAAACTCCAGATTGTCAGCGCGCCGTTGGATTATCTGTTATCTATTCCAGGGAAAGATATCCGGGGCAAATTGATATCAGCTTTCAATGAATGGCTCCATGTGCCGGAGGATAAATTGGCCGTTGTGAGAGAAGTGATTGATCGGCTACACACAGCATCGCTACTGTGAGTCCCAACAAGACTGTAACAAAAGCCGTGCTGATACTTGGTGTAGGATAGATGATATTCAGGACTCATCCTGTCTCCGTCGGGGACATCCCGTGGCTCATGATGTCTTTGGCATCGCCCAGACCATCAACGCGGCCAACTACGCATATTTCCTACAACAGGAAAGGGTGAGCGAGATCAATGACCCGCGCGCATTTCACATTTTTACCCAGGCGCTGCTGGATCTGCACATAGGCCAAGGGATGGACCTCTACTGGCGCGATGCCCTAGTGTGTCCCACAGAAGCGGAATACACCCGCATGGTTATGTACAAAACTGGCGGGTTGTTCCGACTTGCCGTGGAATTGATGCAAATCCAAAGCACTACGACTACGTATGATAATCTCGGCCATACCATCTCGAAAGGTTTAGCTAACTTGATCTAGGGACCTTTCCCGACTAGTGGGGCTATTGGGTATCATCTTCCAGATCCGAGATGATTATATGAACCTACAGAGTGGTATCTATGCAGAAAAAAAGGGATCGATGGAGGACTTGACAGAGGGAAAGTTTTCCTATCCTGTAATCCATAGCATCCGCGCAGCTCCAGGCAATACGCAGCTCATCAATATTCTCAAACAACGCAGTGAAGACAGAGCAGTTAAAGTCCGAGCCGTGCAATACATGGAGTCAACAGGGAGTTTTCAGTACTGCCGGGAGGTATTGAGCGGGCTCATGGAGCAGGCACGGAGCCATGTTGACGAGCTGGAGATACTCTTGGGTCCCAATCAGGGAATTCGTCATATTCTTGATTTACTTCAGGTACACCCACCAAATGTGAATCCAGCGCCATAAGGCGGTGCCTCGATATCTACATCTTAAACCCATCAATGCCAATTACTTTGGCAATCAAAGTGTCACGCGGCGAGTTATGGTAGTGAAGCTATAGGAACGAAATCATATTAGAACTTCGCAGTGCTGAGTGAAGACCTCGCCTTTTTTGGGGGGGGGGGGTGGGTTTCGGTGTCGGAGACAGTGGCAGGTGTTTCTTCCACCTCAACGTCATTATAATGAAGGGTCTCAAAACCAGAAACGTCAGACGGTGTCGTGCCAGGAGGAAGGTCCTCAGGGCGCCTTTCCTGGCCAGTAAGCAGGCCCCAGTATGTATGATTCTCGCCATTTAAGCCAATCTCCGCACGCTGATTCCATAGCTCCCAATTGGACTCTCCTTTAGGGAGCAGGTCCGAGGACTTGCGATCGAAGGTTCCATGTGTCTCCGACATGTTGAAAAGTATGGGTATGGATTACTTGGCGAGAGAATGGGTTGTCGAGGTTAAAACCGATGTGGAAGGAGGGCTAGTCGTATATCCCTGATGAAACCGTGGGACCTCGAGGTGAGGATTGAGATGCTGATAATCTCCGTGATGAGAATCCCAAGAGGTAGGGTGAGGCTATCCCTGGCCTTTTGTATATGCTGAGGACGATGAGGTCGATAAGAATCGGTGGAAAAAGTCGATAGAGACAAAGATAAAAATGGAGCAGAGATGCAAGATCTACGGAGTATATGGAGATGAGAGTTGTGGGAAGAAAAATCGGTTGGCGGAGTTGCAATCAAGCGAGCAGACACCCCCCGACTTTTGTATTTAGTCCTAAGGCGAGCCTTGCTTCTAGGCAGGAATCTTTGCGTAGAGATAAATACTGTGTCTCACCCTGGCAGGTTCAACAATAGCAACGAGCTGTTAACCTGAAGCTATTCACAATTCCTGAATAGGCAATTCTCCGGTCTTGGGGGAGGCGTGTTGTCGCTTATTGTACTGTGGACCCCGAGGATTTTGCTGGGTCATACAGAGCCTGGTGCGACCCCTGTACGTCGTACAGAACCAAGGATATTGACGATTGTAAGTAATATTAATGGCTAGTCCCCGGGCTCATAACCTACTAGAATCTACAGAGTAGATGAGATCATGAAGAGAGTACAATATGATGATATTGTATGCATTGAAGAACTACGTGATGGAAGAAAGGGAGAACAGGCTAAACTAGTATTGTATAGTGTATATGGACAGTAATTATGTGACCATATTTGAGATATTAACATTTTGTATCTGCGTATGTGCTCTCTATCCCATTGTTTGCATCTGCGATCCTCGACCCTCCCCCGGTTCGCTCACTTGTGAGCCGTGACGAGACGAATCATAAGACTTCGCACCCCGCCCGCATCTAGACTCATATTTGCACCGAGCGTCAGTCTAGGACCCCGCAAGGTAGCCTAATTTGGGGCAAAAGTTCGGCCGCAGGACTCTAGTACGTCACATGGTCTATCTCGTATTCGCTTGTCATTAGTATAACTGAATGATTAAACCTTCTGAAAGAGGGTAGATATCATATATGTTACAAGAAATCAGACGTTCTAAATATATAATGAACTATCCTGATATGCAACGCTTCTTTATCTCCCTGTCTCTTGGAGAGGAAGCTATATTATCACTCGCCCACAGCAAAATTTGAGGTTGTGATCTAGGGCCTAGAAGGGACATATTGTAGTCTGACAGAGTCTAATAGTACGGGAAAAATGGTCGTTTGACTTATGCGAAATCTGAGGAAATTTTTCGCTGTAACCGGGGCTCCTGCCTAGGAGAAAATGGAAAAGAAGGTATCTAGATCGGCCATATTCTCGAACCCGCCAATCCAAGCGGTGTGTTGATCCGGACGACACAGAATAAGACAACCGTCACCGTTTCCTTCAATGCCATATTCTGCGTATGCCTGTCCGTTCTCATCTGCGAAAACCCTACCGTGATTCCAGCCCATTACCTCATCGAATGGATGGAAAATCAGTCGCAACTCCAATAACTTATCTGTGTTCCGCGGGCTTGAATGTACCCAAAAAACATCGATTGCAGGCCCGCGCCTGTTCCTATCTTTTCCTTTCGGTAGATGCGCCAGATACGAGTTGTTGGTTAAGTAATCTGCGAGCTTGACCAGAGCCTCCATTTTCCCCGGCTCACTCAAGCCAGCTGGGAATACTAAGAGTTTCCATGATCCGTCACTAGTAAGCCTTTGCGTCAAATGAGTGGAGGTGCCATCGCATTGACAAGTAACCGTAGTCGAAGGAAGACGCATACCCAGCTTGATGTTTCGCGCCAGAGCCGGGGTGCCATAAATCTCGCCGTTGACGACTAAGACACTCGGACCGTAAGTTACGTCCACTCCTGCCATGAAGCCAGCATGCTTTTCGCGGACCTCATACACTCCGCTGGCTTTCCCAGTTTGTTGGTCCTCATAGGCTGCCACGAGACGCGCATCTAAATCCAACAACTTCTTGGAAACAGGACGGCGTTCAGTGTTGTAAGTTTCCAAGATAACAGGATCCGCGCCCTCTGTGAGCACTGCTCCTAGTTTCCAAACGAGGTTGTATGTGTCCTGGATCGAGACGTTCATCCCCTGTCCTCCTTTCGGGGAATGAGTATGGGCTGCATCACCGGCAAGGAAGATGCTGGGAAAAATTAGTTGATGGCTGGTGTTTCTTCTCTCACGAGATTCCATTTACCGGTTGTGGGGTCTGAAATTTTCAGCAACCTGTCGAGCAGTCTTGATTTCCCGTTACCCATGTTAGCGCAACCTGACACTTTTAAATGACCATTTGTACTTACCGAATAATATGACCACCAATCGCAATAGTTGTACGTCAGTTTATACGGGCTCATCGTCCGTTCGGCCATCTCGACCAAAGCCCTTGGGGGATCACTGGAATAGGGCGAGTTGTCTTCTTTAAGCCCGTCCTGGAGGCGAACGTAGAAACGCACCAGCTTGTTCTCTCGTGGCACCGTCATAATGCTTCCATGTGGTTCAGACTGAACTGAGCAGGCTTGGCGGATATCGGCTATAAAGATTTGTTAGATGACGATGAGGGGTACAAGAGGGTTGAGAGCGGTAGGAAGGGAGATATACGAAAGTCGGTGATAGGGTCTATGTCCAAAACACCCCAGGCAGTGCTCTTATCATCCCTATCAGTCGAAACATTGAGCTTCCGTCTAACCCAGCTGTGAGCGCCGTCACATGCAATCAAATAACGTGCATGGATCATATGCGAAGGATCAGGAGAGTGTGAGTCGCCTATGTTTAGGGACTCAGTTTCATTTTGTTTTGCGAAGAGCAACTCTCGGGACTTACCATACACACCGTGCTCATCAAGACAAGCCACCCCAACGGCTATTTGGAATTCTTCCCTATCATCGTCGGATGCTGGCATGTGTAAGAACTCGGCTCTTCTGTTCCACTGAACGCGGATATTGCTTTCCGAACACAAATGGTCAATGAAATTTTGTTCAACAGACCCCTGATTAAGCAAGATTTGCCCGAATTTGGACATGCGCCCAATCTTTGCTGCATCTCTCCTACGGCGCTCGATTTTCCCTGTGTCAAAGTCCATTGCCTGCATTTCTGTGAATATGCCGTTTTGTGCCTTAAGCTGTTGCATAGCACTAACCCAGTAGCACATGTCGACTTCCCGAGCCCCTTGTTTCAATATTCGGTCGACAATCCCAAAGCTTTCTAGAATTTCTAGAGTCCGGCTCTGCACGCCATCGGCATGACCAGTCTTAGTTCGACTGCCTTTCTGGTCTATTATTTGTGTTGACATGTTGTACCGAGCTGCCCAGCACGCTGCGGCGAGTCCTGCCGGACCAGCGCCAACGATCAAAAGGTCGACATGGGAAGTTGAACAACACATTTCAGAAGATGAGTACTCTTTGGTAGAGCTGTAAAAACTTCTAATGCCCTCTATGTAGTTCTCTATCGACCATATACAGGCGTGTTCATGATGAAGTGATAGTGATGTCATGCTGATCCTGGAAGTCAAACTGAAACGCCCGTGTAGGCGGAAGGTCCATCTCTTTATTTGGAGGGAAGCGCCGTCTGTTTCCACAATCCGCCCTGCGTCTTTTGCTCGTAACTGCACCTGGCAGACAAGGTACATCATGAAAAACCCAAGAGACACGGATCTTCACATCGCCTTCATTTATGACCCGAAGGCCTATTATCTTGAACGAGGCTACTCGGAGACAGACTGTGCTGATTTGGCCGACGAAGTGACAATAGACGCTATCGCCAATGCCCTTGGCCAGCTCGGACACCGTGTAATCCATGTTCCCGGCATCAAAAACCTCGTCGGTCATCTGGCAGCGGGTGAAGAAAAGAATTGGGACTTGGTCTTCAACTTCAGCGAGGGCTTCCGTGGCTCTGCACGCGAATCCCAAGTACCAGCGCTGCTTGAAGCTTATGGAGTTATCTACACTTTTTCCGACGCAGCTACGCTCTCGATATGTATCGACAAGGCGAAGACTAAGGTAAGCGATATAATTATGCCTCAGTGCCAAACTCCTTCTCTCTTACCACGTCTCACTGATGGCTATCAGTAGATGATCTTAGAGCACTATCGGATACCAACGAGCCCGTTCGTATTAGTCCCCATGTATGGCCTGGAGGTCGATTATGCCTCGCTGGCCAAGGAACTATCATATCCACTCTTTGCAAAACCAGTTGCTACATCTACCTCGAATGGGATTCTACCATCGAACAAGATCTCCCGACACGAAGACCTTGAGAAAACCATTGAAAATCTCCGGCGTCAATTTACAAGTCAAGAAATCATGCTGGAAGAATTCCTTGATGGGAGAGAATTTACAGTAGGTATCATTGGAACCAAAAGCACAGCCAGAGTTTTGGGTGTTTTAGAAATGACATGGTACAATCCGGAGGGGCGCGAAAATGACATTTCTTCGGTCAACTTTTCTACAAACTCCTCCAAAGCCGGCCGCGGAGCAGGCCAAGATATGGGACATATGCATGCGGACATGGCGGATCCTCTGGTCAGCACGATCGCCAATGTTGCTCTCTCGGCATACCAAGTATTAGGGTGTCGAGATGGAGCTCGAGTTGATATACGTTTAAGCTCTCCGAAAACCGGTTCTATTCCAAACGTGATCGAGGTATGCTTAATGTGCCCTCGAGATAGGCAGGACTCGACGGTTTTATAATTCGGTTATCAGGTCTGACTGGAATCAGGTGAACCCATTGTTCGGTCTACGAGGCGACTATTCCCTGTTTACCCACCTCGCGCGCAATAACGGTATGGAGTACAACGCCCTTATTGATGAAGTCATTACCAGTGCCCTCCAGAGGCGGAATGTAGAGGACACTGGGTCAATGGAGTAGAGGAAGCGATGCTGCGATATCGGCTCAAACAAGTTTCATTACCCAATCGAAATGATACTGATCTATTCTGGTGGAATAGCATCGTTAAGAGTTTCCCCGGTGTCATTGTAATCCAGACCCTAACTTAAGCCGCTACCTTCATCCATGCATATGTGCCTCCTGCGGACGTAGAACACTGTTGGCACAGCGATTTCACTAATAGCACAGCGCTAAACCCCCTTTAAGAAAGAGAACGACTACAAGAACACTATTTTACTCAATCTCTCACAAACTGCTATTCGATCCCATGTGAAGTCATCGGTTCCGTTGTATATTTTTGCTGTTGCCACACGCAGTGTATTCGAGGACCCTCAGTGTGATGCGATGCACGGTCTCGCCGAAATCCTTGCACATCGAAACGATGGACCCAATGGTGTGTCGATGGGAGGAATTGACTGTAACTCTTCCTGTTCAGATCGCGTTATTTCAATGATTCGAATATAAGCCGATGTTTAAGCAACCCACCTTGCCAGAAATGAAGTGATGATTGGAAAGACCCGAAATTTATTGTATTGGCTCAAAAGAATCCAACATTTACACAAAGCAAAGAAAAGCCTCTCAAAAGTTTAGATGGCACTGCAAATCCTATTCATTCCAAGCATGATTTACTTGATCAATCTGCTCACTTTCGCTTTTACTCTCCAATGGCCGTTTTTGGAAAAAGGAAGTCCCCTGTCACGGAAAGGACGAATGTCTTCTTGAGTAGTTTCGTACAAATCAAATTCAAAGTGATGGGTCATAGCAGCTATGGTGAAGTACAGCTCCGCATAGCCCGAACTGTATAGAAAGGACCGAGTTTAGTTCGACAGCCACTGTCATCGGGTATTGCTTACTTACTTCAGGCCAATGCACGCCCTGCTCCCTTTGCCAAACGCTGACATAAACCGAGTAAGGTTCTCGCCGCGCTCAGAGGCCAAGACCCAGCGTTCTGGGCTGAAAAGCTCCGGGTCGGTGAAAATAGTAGGATCCATGTTCATGAAATAACTTGATGTGCTAACCGGAGTCTATCATAGACCGGATTAGTCCTTTCAGTAGATCCTAGGAATAGCTGGGATGACTTACTCCAGGTGGGATGGCATATTTCTGGTACACTAGAGACTCGTCTGGTGCAACCCGCGGTGGTCGAGAGATTAGGCCAAAGGATAGCCGGAGCGCTTCATTGACTACTCCAGTCTGTTGGGTGATAGATCAGAAGACATTTTTCAATATACACCTAGATCGAAGTGGTGACGAACCAGATATGGTAATTGTTCAAGCTTTGCCAAGGGTACAAGATGTGCTTCCATGCCCATCACCGGGTTCAGCTCTGTCCGGAGTTTTGTGGCGATAGACTTATCATTAGATAGATGGAATGCTGCAACTGACAAGGCATTAGCCGGCGATTCCGTCCCACCACTTAGTAATATCATGCCCTCCTGTTGAAGGCGAGATAGTGTTCTCTCTTCAGCTGGGAGTTTGGAGAACTGAGGGCTTCAACCAAAGTCTGTTTTCCATTGATACAGTCTTCCTGACTGGATTCCTCAAGCGCATTCTGTGAGTGTTCTGTGACTTCACCCAGTATGGCAGCAGTAGCAGGCTTGAAACGGGCCACAAGCCACGAGGGCATGAGTTGAATAAAGGGAATGAGAGAGGGAACAAATCTGTTGAGATGATTGGCACTTTCTAATTCCAAGATGCCACCACGGATGTTATTCTTGAAGTCCTTGTCGCGCAGAGAGTCTGAGCTTTGGCCATATGTGTAGTGAGTCACAATATCGCCTGTCAGTGCACAGAATGCTGCAGTCAGATCTACAACAGCAGAATCTTGGTAGGCCTGCTCAAAACGCTCCATCAAAATTGACAGTTTCTCTTGTATGAGTGGAGTCATGCTGACCACAGATTTCTTTGAGAAAAACCCGCTCAGAATGCCCCTTCGGAAGTGATGATGCTCGTGGTCAATTGTAGAAATTATTGACAGGGGCGCTGCAAATAAAGGGACAAAGTTTGGATCCTTCTCTCTTTTTCTGCCACCCGAAGGATAAATCTGCTCATGATAATACGGGTCTTTAATATGAATTTCACGGGGGTTGATCCGGACAATTGGGCCTGTGAGGGTAGCTGGAGTGAGTGAGTGCGACAAGAGTATGTCATGAGAACTTTGACTGATTCTCACCATATTTTTCATGCATTTTCTGGATCTCCCAGAGGAACATCCCATTGCGCACCACGTCGTGATAGAACTCATGGAGATGAGTGGCTGCGGTAAGTTTGGGACCAGGGAACTTGCTGAGAGGGTGGAAGTAGAGACGATATATAGACCTTGTGAAAAGTGAAGCAACAATCAGGGACAGGAGAATCCAAAGTCGAAGACTCTCCATGTCGCTATTTTGGATGAGAAGTCTGTAAGGGAGGAGCGGGTGTTGCGAATCCGAATTGAAATAGGTGGGAAACTGGAAGCCAACCATAATGAGAATGAAAATGTTTGTATGTATAGTCTTCAGGGTCGATAGCTAGACACGAAACTCTTGTACCATTTATACATCATATCCAAGCGATGAGCTATCATAGACCACCTTCTTCCCCTCTATTTGTCACCTTTACAACGATGCTACCAGTAGCGCCTGGTATGTTATTTTGACTTCCGAACTTACCGAATGTTGCTAAGCATTGCAATTCTTTTTGACATGGTGCATGCAACTACACCCCGACGATCGTCACGGCGACTTCGTTATAGCGGTGTACGGATGACTTATCCGTATTTCCTACAGGATTCTCACCTAGATTCAACCCAACGAGGGAGTATTACGCAGTCTATTCAACTACCGGGCCTTAAATACTACCATTTTTGCGACATTGGCCAGCTAATTTCAATGATAACACTTCTGTTTGGGCCATCTTTCACACAAATAATTGATAACTTTCCAATTCTTCGACGGGCAATGCTAAACTCAATCGCGGATTAGGTTGCCGACAGTCGTCATACGTGTACCTAGGCAGATGGTACATAGGTATGCACCTGCATACCGATGTATGTAGTTCTGCGCAATCCCATAGCCCCACTATTTTGGGTTTACCGTGTTGGCGGTCTGCAGCTGTCCACCCCGGGAAGTTCTGCACAACATGGAACCCGTTAGCCCCACTATTTTGACTTTACGATCGAGTCCGGAGACATGGCGACTATGCGAGGTTTAATTCACTACAAAGTATGTAGCCTATGGTCAGTCCGGCAAAAGATTAGTGAATTTTCCCTAAATCTTAGTTCAGGTGAGCATTAACAGGAGCCTACTGACCATAATCACATAAAGACTTTGAAGAACTACCGCTCTAGGAAAGAGAGATGACGTGGTGCAGTTAGAGAGGTACATAACAAGTAAAAAGATGGTTTGGGCATGTTGGATGTATCGTTGAAGAACGCGGGAAAAGGTGAAATAAACTGCTCGCTAGTAATTTGAATGTCGCATGGTCACTACTCCTCTCCGTATACGTAGACTAATATATTAAGGGATCATCCAATCCATGTGCCTCTACTCCCTATAATAACACCATGACACAACTCGATAGAGGCTCGTATCGACACTATGCAATATGCAGTACGCAGTAAGATAATTGTCACCGCCACGTAAGCTTGCAGGCAATTCCTATTAACATCATTTATATTCCTGTCGCCGCGCTAGACGCTTTGTTGAACAAAGAGGGGAGCGCCCCGTGCCATGGACACGGTCGGAAGCGGTATGAGGTGCAGGACTATCCAGGTGCTCCAACCGCTACTTTATTGAAAGACTTTGATGCCTTACTGGTGTGACAGTTTCTAATGCACTTCTTCAATCTTCCCGGATTGGGCTTGAGGTTACTCCGCATCGCCAACGTGGCAGATTTAAAGGGCCATATGATGCATATCATTCTAAATCGGGCAACCTTCGATTTTCGTCGCCCAATTGGGTTATGTGCAGCAATCGGAAGATGGCGTTGAGAAATAGTTTGGGTTTTCTAGTTGTATACCAGCTTGAGAACATTAAATCTTAGAATAGAGCTTTCTATGGACTGAATGCGCCCTTTCATCCTAGCGAGTTGATTGGTCGCTTCTTGTTGGCTCCAAAATGGGCCAGTCAGTTTCTACTAGGACCTATACTAGGGCGGAGACAGTTGTCTTCTATATAAATTCCCGCGTAATCATCCACAATCTTCACAGAAAACATCAAAATAACAGTGCTATCAAACCTTCCACTGTTTTACGTCATGGAATTCATATCTCACCAGGAGCTGAGCAATATGCTTGTTGAGTTTTTGGACAAGTTTGGCTACCAGGATGAGGATCGTCTCTCCCCACACGACCTGCAAGCGATTTACGATTTCACGCTACAATTCTTGCCTGGTGAGCGAAGAATAGTTCTGGCGCTTTCGGAATATGCCCCCAAGGCACTCATAATCCAACAAAATGCACAAGCTTGTCGATTTGCCCCGATGGGAGTGACCGAGAAATTTCGCTGATTGGAGTTGTGTCTTTGGCGGCTATATACCTACTTTGCGTTGTATTAGCTCTCATTCCAACTAGCTGGAAATCCGATAGAGCCTCGAAACGAGTTGGAGCACAACTAGTGAAAAAGAAGGCCAAAAGAACCCCCGATGTTGAGCAAGTAATAGGTAACGAGCCGAAGGAAAACGAGCCGCCGATGCAGGGAGATGATATAGTCGACGAAGAGCGTCAGGGCTCACACATACGCTCTCTTTTTAAAATGCTGATTCAAAACGAAAGAATGGATGAGCCAGGCCTGGAGTTCGATTTTCACGAATTACAATACACCCTGGCTAATGTGCCTCGTCCAATCTTACGAGGGATTTCAGGCAAAATTAGGAAAGGCCGCCTGTTGGGATCATGGGACCGTCTGGCGCGGGAAAATGTAAGTGGTATAACTGACCTTTAGGACTTTGGCAGGATCAATGCTGACCTGATGCTCTCTTCAGCCACTTTTATCGATATTCTCATAGGAAAAACGACCCCGACGTCCGGGATAACAGCTATCAATGGAGTACAAGAAAGTTCAATGAAGTAAGTGCCATTGGACTGTTATGGAATTAAATCCTGATATTCTTTCTAGGCTTCGAACATTTGGTTGGCTTCGTCCCACAGGATGATTGTGTCTTAGCGGATCTCACAGTTCGAGAAAATATTCTCCACTCCGCGCGTATAAGACTTGGTGGGATGTTGAATGACGAGGAGATTAGATTGCATGTTGACGGAGTGATCGCGCACCTCGGGTTGTTCCCTGTGAAAGATAGGCTTACAGGAAGTGTCGAGAAAAGAGGTATATCTGGCGGTGAGCGCAAGCGAGTTTGCATCGCTAAAGAGATTATTGCGATGCCTATGGCGCTTATTCTGGACGAGCCAACCTCCGGACTCGATGCAACTGCCGCTTTGTCCATAATGAACCTACTTAGAACTCTCTCTACCTTCGGTATCACCATTGCCTGCTCGGTTCATCAGCCGCGCGCAGACATATTTCGCCTTCTGGACGACATCCTCCTCTTGCGTCTTGGAGAATTGATATACATGGGAGAGGTGGCTCCATTAGACGCGCTCTTTGGAGAACGCCAGGATTCTCATCCCAACGGATACAATCCTGCTGACAGCATGATGGATGTGGTCACCAATCAGCAGTTATGCTCAGAATTCCCCTGGCCCTCTTGTCATCACAGCGATAGTCAGGCCGATGACTGGCCGACTTCTTCGGAAAACTCTACGGTCGGTAATTTCCGACGTGTATCAGAGTTAAAAAAACATTTGGGTAAATACAAGGCGCCTTGGTATCGTCAGGTACTTCTATATACCCTTTGTGGTGCAAGGCAACAACGCCGACAGGTGTTCAGTCTTCTTCTGGAGATGTTCACCGGAGCAACTGCAGGCCTTCTTCTAGGCCTAGCGATATACGAACGTAAGGGACAGCTGTTCCAGGGATATTTTCGATCACCCTTCGAGCCCTTATCAAGTGCAGTCGACTATGTCATGGTTCCTGCAGTGAGCGTTCTTTGCAGCATGTCAATCGGTGTGTCACCACACCCCTTATCAGTCCATAAAGCCGCCGTGGCCAAACGAAAGACTGAAATCAATTACTGACGTTTCCAATTGTTTGTTAGGTATCGCAGCCGCACCTGCTGGGATAAAGACAATTTCAGAGGAGAGTAAGTAATGATCTCACATGACTATTGTGACCACCCTACTGACGGAGTCGTTCGTATCAGAGCTCAATTTCTATCAAGAGGTTCATTCAGGACATTCAGCCAGTGCCTACTCTATTGGGAAGGACCTTGCTACCTGGCCTCGCATCGTCGTGTCATCCTTGCATTTCACAACCTTTTACATGATCCTCGCAACTTCTGTGACCCCCTTTCACACATGGTTTTTGCTTAACTTGATTTATTTCTTCTGTTAGTAATCCGACCCTTTCGAACTGTCTCCAAGAGGCTAACGTGCACATACTAGGTATTTACGGACTGGCTTCGCTTGTGGCGTCTTTGGTCCGGCGGCAGGATGCTTTATTACTGGCAATGCTCGCAAGCCTAATCTCAGGTATCCTGGATGGCTTTGGTCCACGACTGGCTTTTGTCAACTCATGGCATATGGGATGGCTGTGGTATATTTGCCCAGGGGTAAGGCATTTTCCTCACAACTCTTTCCTAACAACTTGTCTGTGGTACGTGACTGACAGTAGGACAGACCTGGTACTCCGAAGCCTTTTTCAGCGAACATATTGTACCATTCTCCCATCTGTATGACGTGGATGCGGCTGCAAGCTATACCGGCTACGTGACTAGCAGGACATCTTTTGATTTCGGGTACGTCCCCTTTTCCAACTCCCGATCTCCTTTTCTCGTTCAAGAGGTTGACGCGCACTCTACGTGCTTTATCCATACAGTATTATTATCATAATCGGAGTCATGTATCGCATTATCGCCTTTGTTGGGCTGGTGCTTCCTACCCTGAACTTCGCCTTTCTGAAGAAGGTTCTCAAGCTGGACCGACGACCCATCTAAATTTCAAAGAATATTTAATTTCCAGTTCATCTAGATTGGCAAAAGTTTCCAAGGTTTTCGGAAAAAGGCATGTTGGACGAAGTCCTAGATGTATTTGCCAAGGCTGTTGCTACGGTTCTATTGAGAACATCACTCTTCCTAGCGGGGGAATCGACACACGATACAACGAGCCAGCCTCAATGTCGCGCTATATGCTCAAGATTGCGAGATATAGCCAGAGCAAAAAAAGCTCGTGATTATAGGATTCCTCACATCGAGGACGCAATCGCGAACTTCCACATTCCGTTTAATAAACCCGACTTCCGGGATCCAGCCACATAATGGCACCCGAGTCAAGAATTGTCTCTAGCATCTGAGGCTCTCTCTTTCCTCAAGCCACCGTATCAGAGGTGCATCTACAGCTCTTGCAAGCGGATGGTAGCAGTATGCAGAGGCTGGGCACGCCGGTATGTTTCGGTTTGAGGACGTCTGGGTGGACGTGAGTCATTGCGTCTCAACCTACTAGGCAGCTGGCGAGTGCTTACCAAAAGTTTTTGAAGGACGCGTAACACGGGGAATGTAATTAGACTTAGCAAATATCACTTGCACTGCTCTCTCTTTCTACTTCCTGCTTCGCTATGACTATGCTAACAGTGCCTTACTTTGACCAAAGTCTCCATGCTCTTTTAATAAGGGACCGCTAAGATGATTTGGGACAATTTGAATATCTCAATCGCAAACGCAGAAAAACTAAGAATCCATCAATATCTACAACGCTTTGTTCGCAGCGGTATCCTCAACCCGCTCTAAGTGTTCCACGTTTAATGCCTTGGTTGTCTCAATGTCACTCGTCCCGGGGACTTTCTTAGGATAAAATTCAATCTTGCCACCTTCCTGAATGACACCTGTTCGGTCCAGGAGAAGACGAGCCCGCACGTAGGGATCAAGTCTCCAGTGGTTAACGCGTAGTCGCTCAGCTAGATAAGCTCTTTCGCTTTCGCTGGATTGGGTCTTCGTCGGGTCCTTTGATTTAGTCCCATTGATCCACGCAGATGTAGCAGCCAGGAACTCTTCGCCAATAGCGTGCCGCTCGTTTTTCAGTGCGTCTCGTGTCGTAGTGTCATCCATCCGTGAGTTCTCGGTAGAACTGGGCTCAACGTATGTATATGACCACTTCTCGTCGCCGCCCATCTCTTCCACAATCTGATCACGGGGGATGAACTTCTCGAGGTCGGCGACACTATTTGTGAATTCAACCTTGGCTGCAATTTCAGGATCCATCCAGCCTCGAATGAGTCGCCAAATGCCTAGAATATTGACGCGGTAAGCAAACCAAAGAAGGATAGTGATGCAGGGTATCTTCGGCCACGCCCAAAATGAATAACTGACCTGAGAAAACCCACGGGGCATTATGAATAAGCATAATGCCTAAACATTCGGGGTAGTTCGCTTCGAAACACTTGAGAATGAATTTGACAGGTGGATATTCCTACCCAGAAGGAAAAAGGGTCAGTCAGCCATGCAAGGACAGTGATAGTGCGTGGACCGGAAACGGTGATATACCATATTAGACAGTCCAAAACCTGTCATATCAAATAGAACAGCCTAATCTGAAGTCAGTGTCACCGTTTCATCTCGCCCTATCAAATAGCATACTTACTGCAGTCTCAACAGGAGGAGACAATGTAAGTCGCACCGACTCAATCACGTGGACAATATATCGCTCCAAAGATTCTTCACTCTGAGCCCCAGGCTTGTGCAAGCGGACTCTCACCACCACAATCGGGCGACCAGCCCTATCAACACCATGCACGTAACTCTTTCCCATGCGCATTTGAGACAAGAAGTCATTCCCGGCTTTCTGTTCACTTGTGCTGGACTCGTTCTGGGTCTGCTTGAGGGCATGTAACTCTCCCTTTGCCATCACATCTTCATCTACGTGCATTTCTTTGACTCGCCAAACAATTGCTTCCATCATCATTGCAAATGACTTAGGGACATCCCATTTGCGAGCCCGGAGGAACCGCAAAAGTAGGGCATCAGGGTGGTCGTGTTTGAGAGTGTCAAGTATTCCCGTACGAAGCTCAGTAGGTGTGATCTCTGAGAGAGCCTTCTTGATTGCGTTGGATTCAGCCACACCAGCCCCCATTTCTCCAAGGAATTTCATGATGTTTTGGTGATATGGTGTATTCGGGGTTGGGATAGATTTTTCGGAGACGTTGCTCTGTGTGCGGCCAAGGAGCGACAGCCGTCTCTGGGGTTGAGCTGGACTGGAATGCTCCTCCGCGCAGCCATTGATAGGTTCATTGCTTAGGGATGCTTCGCCTGCCTTGAGAAGGACCGACCAAAGCTTTTGTAATTTGGCCTGCTGATCTTTGTTGATGTTGCCCAAAAAGCCGGGTTTGGGGCCATCGCCAGCCATTTTTCTTAGGAGACTCAGACGTGTCCTTTAAGGAATAGGTCGAGGTTGAGGTTGCTTGAAGAAAACGTTTAGATCGTGCAGTATGCCTTGGTCTTAACAAACATCCCAAAAGACCGAAAATACATCGATTGTGGAAGTTATAAATATAGCCCTGCAGATCATCATCTCGAATCCACATGAAACCCCTCATACCTTGGACACTGCCTCGGCCCCTAGAAACTGGGGAATGGGGCCAATTCGCTCATCCTTCGTGAAATCTGTCAATCACAGTGCAGTAATTGCAGGGATCACAGCAATGACATGCACTAGACACACCCCACACGTTCCCCAGGTTTTAGCAGCATAGTCACAGAAAGGGGGAAGCCTCGGGCGCTTGGTCGGAAGTACACATGAAAGGACGAATTTTAGGATTTGGTGGAGTCACATCATTTTCGGGAATTAGAACTAAAAATGAAACAGAGAGTAATAATCCAAGGAATACTATGGAGTGCCTTTCTGGCCTGATACTTGGTAGACGCACATTATATATATATACCGCTTCTCATCTATTTACCTGTACAATACAGCTGACTAGTACCTTGCCCTATAATTAGCCTAACTTGGCCAAAAGTCTGGGAGAATATCGATCTACATACGGAGTACAACACATACCCCTCTCTCATGGGCGGGGAAACGCGGTCATTGCGTTGGGTGCGTATACTCTAGATAATCCGTACGGGGTAGTGGCGCTGATAACGAGGCTGCGTCATGATTGGTCTCGGGTAAAATAAACTCAGTTGTTTAGCCACACAGACGCCTCGGGAATAATGTGAATCCGAGGTAAGAAGGATCGTCAAGCGAATAACTCTTTAGAATGCCCATGTACCATCTGTCCTGTGAAATCAGGAACAGCAGGTAAAAGCTACCATATTTTCATGGAGTAGCTATCTGTTCATCAATATTCAACTCTTTCCTTAAATTTCAGGATAAATAGGTTTTGGTAAAATCGAACACTTCCTATCTATAGATATCGATTTGTTATCTATGTATCCATGGATATTGGTAATAGACATCTCTCGATCCATCGATCCATGGATCACTCCGCACTTATCGTAAAAAGATTGCGCTCACTCGGTGGCAAATCGTAAGGAATAATACGCCTTACTATTATCACCTTTTAGTACTCGAAAACTACATATGTATAGAGCGAAAAAAAAGTTCTTGGTGCCATAATCTCTACCCAACTATTTTTACGAAAAATTAGTACGCAAGTAGTTACACGCTTAACTCACCCTCACGGCTTATAATACCAAATCTAGAACTTCCAACTGCCGCAGTGAGGCTGTAGTGCCTTGGCACTGAGACTTATTCTATCCACTCCAGTTATAAGATAACTCAGGAATGGGCTTAGGCTCGAAACTCTGTCTCACCGGTGTCTCCGCACTTATCAGCCAAGTCTTCCGATTTGCCAAGCATTTGTTATCTTTTGTGTCATGATAAGGATATATAGAAGGGTGCGATATGTATGGAGTACCCCCAATGCTCTTAAATAGACTAGCCATCTGCTATATTGAAATCATTGCATTCACTTGTCCTCGTAACCATGTCTACCGTGGACTCCGAAAAGAGTCACCTGCCCACTCCAAAACAAGATGTATCAGTCACTATTGGGAGTGTCGACATCGACTCTCGAGCAGAGCGCACATTAGTCTGGAAGTTTGATCTTCGGCTACTTCCTGTGTTGGCTATCATGTATCTCTTCAATAGCCTGGACAAGTCCAATTTGGGCAATGCTAAGACAGCTGGACTTACAGGTACGCCGCCATTAGGATTCATAAGTGAAGAGCACCGCATTGACTTAAATTACAATGACAGAGACACTCTCCCTGAAGGGGAATCAGTACAACCTTATTCTTAGCATCTTTTTCATCCCTTACGTTTTGACTGCACCTTTTCTCGGTCTTTTGGGGAAGAAATATGGACCAAACATTGTGCTACCTTGCATGATGCTTGCCTTCGGTCTTTGTACAATTCTTGTTGTCGCTGTTTTCAACTTCAGCGGTCTCCTCGCCATTAGGTGGTTTTTGGGCATGGCAGAGAGCGCGTTCTTCCCGTTGGTGATCTATTACCAAACGACGTAAGCCCATCCCTTCAAGCTTTTGAAATTGCGTCGTTCCTAATTCAAAGCCAGTTTCTATCGTCGGGGTGAGCTAGCTCGCCGACTCGCTATTTTCTACGCTGCCCAGACTATTGCCTCTGCCTTCTCCGGCTTGCTGGCATTTGGCATTTTCCGCATCAAAACTGGTCCATTGGCGTCCTGGAGGTATCTCTTCCTGATCGAAGGCGCAGGGACTATTCTCTTTGCACTATTTGCACTGTGGTATCTACCTCGGTCGGCCTCAGAGGCAAGTTTTCTGACACCTGAAGAGAAACAACTCGCATACCTTCGTTTGCAGATTGACAGTTCTTCTGTGGTCAACGAAAAGCTGGACATCCGGGATGCGTTCAAAGTGTTTAAACACCCAACTAGTTGGGTGATTTTAGGCATTCAAATTTGCCTTGGTGTTCCCTTGCAAGCTGTTCAGCTATTCCTTCCGGTGATAATCCAGCGCCTTGGATATAGTACTGTGAAAACCAACCTATTCACCGTGGCACCAAATATCTCAGGCGCTGTGGTTCTCCTTATCCTGGCGTTCAGTAGTGACTGGACGAGATGGAGATTCCCCTTCATTGCACTCGGGTTTTTGTTCACCTTCGTGGGGTTCATAATTTATGCGACTATCGATGTGCAGCATGACCTACATGTAGCCTATTTTGCTTCATTTCTGATGACTTGGTTGGTTCATTTCCCTCCAATCCGAGATAGCTGGAAGCTCACAAGGTTATTTAGGGGCACCTCTGCACCTTCCGTTCTTCTCGACGCCTGGTATAATAACAACACTGCTGATGAAGGTCGTCGTGTGGTATTAACGAGTATTGCTGTCCCATTGGCGAACTTGATGGGGGTCGTCAGCTCGAACATCTTTCGCACGCAAGATGCACCCACGTATCTTCCTGCGTTAATCACTACGGCGTCGTTTGGTGGAGTTGGTATTGTCTTGACACTCTGTCTGGGGCTTTGGATGATGGCGGATAATAGGAAGAGAGACCGACTGCAAGGTGTTCACCTTAAGGCAAGGGATATCCCTACAGAATATCTCAAGGATGGGCCTGCGTGTGATAGCTTCCGCTGGTTTTATTGAGATTCTTCAATAGATATACGCATTAGGTTCTGAGGCAAGACTGGTTCATTCTAGCTGCGTAGACCTGACGGCTAAAACAAGGGGAGGAAGTATCCCTAATAAATGGCTGGGCTGTATAAGAGAAATAAGATCTGTATCAACGGAAGGAAGCAGGTCTTGACAAACAGGGAAGGGGCGCGCCTCACGCCCCAGGCAGCCACACACCCTCTTAGGCGCGCATCTAAGATGTCCGCTACAGCTCAGATAGTCTCCCGGCCTCTAAGTCAAGATAGTTCTGGCAGCTAACTGACCGTGACGAGTACCACGTTAAGGGAAGAACCGTTTTCGCTTTGATCAAAGTGCGCATCCGGTTGGAGCCGCTCCAACAGAGTCGGGATATACGGGTGTCTGCGCGGCATCCTCGCACTTGCAGTAGTTGGTTTCCAGTGGAACATCCGAGCAAGCGCTTGCCGGTGCTGTTGCACAGTACGTGTTGGTTGAGACCGAGGTTGTCATGCCTGCTGGACACGAACTTGAGGGCATGCAGAAAGTGTCGACGGTTGATGCGCCTGGGAGCATGGTATGGCTATACCATTGATCTCTGGCACAGGAGCAGGAGACGGCTTTAGAAATAAATCAGGTCCGTTAGCTTCATTGTCTACATAATTTGACGGGTGGAGAATAAGGGGCAAGCTGAGTAGGGAAGATGAAGAGGAAGGACTCACCACTAATAATAGTTGACTGTCCTCCCGCTAAGGTACCCTCGTACATGGTTTTAGTTGTCCAAGGAATCGCCCCATGCGAGCATTCGGTTGTGATCCAGGACGCATCAACCGGGAAACAGGTCGACTGCTCGACGCAATGACCTGGGTGCCAAACCGAAGGGAAGTATCCCTCCGAGCACTGGATCGGGGGCTCCGGTCTAGCACAGTAGGACGTGGGAGTTCCCATCGTACAGTCTGTCGTGTAGACAGCAGTCTGCCCGTTCGAGCAGCTGAGCGACGCAGCCTTGGTGATCGTCGTCGGAGGCGCAGTTGTTGTACCTGCGGAAGTCTGCTGAGGGAATGCCAGGACAGCAGTGAAGAATAAAGAGAACACAGCGAAGAATTGGAGAGAATCCATTTCGGCAATCTTTACTGGGTATAGAGCAAAAGAAGCTGCTAGGGTTTGTGAAGTTCGTGAGAGGTGCTCTTGTGGTCTCGAGACCCCGAGTCCAGGGCCAAACTTGGGTTTTATACCATTGTGGCAGGTCTCACTTCGACGTGTCTCACTACAGCCGAATGAGTATTTTCTGGAGCTATCGAAGTTCGGAAAAAATTGTTGCTCTCCCACATACGTGTGCCCCGTATTAGTGGGGCGGTCTCCGCTAGCTCGAAAGAGAGACAAAGGACTCAGGTCAGCTCATAACGTTACATCCACACGTAGCCAATTGTCTGGTGAAGTGGCTCATTGGACGCCTTACTCTTTTTCTCGGAAAACAAGAAATCAGAACACGTGAGGGTGTAAAAATAGCGGTGTTGTGCCTAGCGAGATCATCCGAGAAGTTCTAGGAACCAAGGCCCCCCGCGTGCAGCGGGGGCAGCCCACTCTTCATGTTATTGTGGGTACTTGGATACTTGCGGATGTGTGGGAGGTTGCGCAATAATTCTGACGCTGACGCCTAGAATATTCGGGTTGATGGCTGATTCCAAATTCTGTCGCTCACCACAGCCCTCCTGCCGGCCTATCGGGCGCAGATAGAGATAAATATGGAGAGACATTCCCAATTCTCCCGACCCTGGTTGGCGATGTTTTGTTCATTATTCCTTTGGGTCTGTATCGTCAGCATTCGAGTCTCATCCATGCCTTCATTGGTTTATCCACCAACGCCAGCATCTCTAGTGGTATGTGCAAATTTGGCGTCTCCGCACTATTGGAAAGTCTCCGGTCGCATGAAATAGGACCAGCAGTGGATCATGGGGCATTTCCGGGATATTGGTGAAAATGTAGGCATCCTAATGGCGCTGCAATTTTATACACAGATAAGATGGACAAATTAGCTGGCCAGGCAGAGTCCGTCAAACTCAAATAATATATATATATATATATATATATAGCCCTGGAGACAGCTCTCATGCCAGGGTGTTTTCCCTTTTGTTATTCTGATGCCTTCGCAATTACCAGGATTTTTAGGGACCATCACGACAATCGGCCTCATTGGGATAGCTACGCCACCTTACTCCTCTGCCTTCCCACTCGACTCATACCTATATTGCATATAGGTACATATAAGAATAGTTAGCCGCTGATACGGCCATGTTATGTTTGTTTTGGTAGTCTTTTTGATAGTCTTTTAGACGTACTCCTAGGTATTTCCTTAGCGTATTTTTTTAATAGATTTCTTCCATTTATTCGTGGTGTAGCTAGAATGACAAGAAGAACTAACTAGAAAGTTACTATGGAGTACGAATCCCCTCGTGTCAAGGGGGCGGGTCGGCCCCCGGGACCCGACCCGGACCTGAGTCATCCAACTCCGAGCTCCGAGGACCGAGCCCCGACAACTACCTACAAGATAGATAGCGAACACCTTCAACTACTTCCAAGGTTGTCTTTTGACTGCCATACGTTGATCATACGAGGAGCTTTGACAATGGCCACTCCCCGCCGCAATGGTCAATTATCATCCTGTGAGCCGTGTCGTACCTCAAAGTTACGATGCGATCATGAAAGTCCCGTTTGTGGACGCTGTGAACGCCGTAGTCTTCATTGTACCTATCACCCGGCACCATTGACGCAGTCCTCCACTGGAATACGTCCCCAAAAAAGACGCCGCGTCGTGTGCGAATCAGATCCTCCTAGTAATATCAGTCGACTACAGAATGAGAACGATGTCTGGACGCGGAAAAAAGCATCAGTCTCGGCCCCGGGATTTTTGGGGCAAACTAGTTACTACGATTCATTCACAGATACAAAGAATGGACTCCTTGTCGGAGTTCCACACCTCACAGGGCACGATAACTTTCCCGTTGACCAAAAGCGGATCAATCTCGGTGCTCGGGTCTTGGCGCTTCTGGAGAACCTCCCATTTTATAGGGATGTGGTCACCGCTCGATTCAAGATATGGAAGGGATGGAGCCTTGGTTGGCCAGTCACAAACATGGTTCTTACAGTCGTTGAGAAGATGTGGAGCTCCCTAGAAACCGAGGGCATGGACACAAACCAACGAGCTTTCTTCCTCTCGAAGAGACTGTTTGAAATGCATACCCGGCCGCTTGAGGTGCACCCTTCAATGACCTGGGAAGGCTTTCAGTCTGCTGCGGCCTGGAGATGGGAGTTGATCGGGCTGCTCTTTACTCTGACAGGTCTAGCCACGGACTGGGTCCCTCACGGTGACCGCATCTTCATGCGTCAGGATACGATGGATCCGAAGAGCCTCGCTATAACCGCCACCGCTGTGGGAGACATATGTCTTCAGTTCTGCGATAGCAGTGGAATTGTGAATGATATTGTAGGCTGGCTGCTATTGCATCAGGTCACACTTTTGGCAATAGTATATGGTGAAAGTGGTCCGTGATCCCCCTCTTTGCCTGTCAACATTGTCTAACGGGGTTCCTAGACTTTCGACCGTGGAGAAAGTTGGGAGAGTTATCGACCACGATATTTGCGCTCGGACTTCATCAAAATTCCAGCGCAAAGGCACCATTCTTTCTTTCTGAGATGCGAAAAAGAACTATGGTCTCGGCGTATTCAATGGACAAAGTGCTTGCCACTTTCCTAGGTCGGCCGCCGCTCATTAGCTGGCGCTACTGTGATATTCAAATGCCGCTTGACTTGAGCGTTGAGGAAATATTTGCCGATCCCGTCGTTCGTAATGCGGCAATCGCTCGACTTGATGAGAAGAGTGGATGGAATCTGGAGTCAAGCTTGATGAAGGGCACATGGCCTCGAATTGCCCTGATCACTAGCGTCCTCCGTGAGAAGGTCTTGGAGCTTTCACTGAGTTGTCAAGTGGAGAATCTTAGCCAAAGGGTCGAGTAAGCTGACAATTCAATTTGCCGCCAAATCCAGGACATTACTGACCTTCTCAGGGAGCTTTCACACGAATCCCGCCAATTACGACAGGGACTGCCAAAGTTTCTCCATTGGAAACCTGATATTGACAGGGTGATTGTTTCCAGAGTAGAATATGATCTCCTTTTTGAGGTTCATATGGAGTTTCTCTACAACGATTTCCTGCTCTACCGGACCCTCGGGAAACGCACCCAGACGCAGCCCGAGGCAACTATTGGCATCGCCCGAGAGATACTCAAAGCATTGGTCACTATGATTTCCGAGAAGACTCGCTCCAGACAGCCCATCAAAGGTATTGGGCTTAGTGTGAGTGGGACATACCTTCGACTGCGGCAAAAAGCCGGAATCCTGACATCTCAAAACACGTACTAGGTCTGCTTACCGGGTCTTCCTTCTGCTGGTGTTCTCTGTGCAGAATTACTACGTCGATCCCGATCGACGGTGACAAGCTCTTTTTTAGAGTTTCCTCGTTCAGAAATCATTCAAAATTTGACCCTTTTCGCGACATACCTAGACACCATCATTGAGATTCATGATTGTAACTACCGTGTCGCACAGCAGGGTCAAAAGGCAATCCGCCATGTGTTGGACCAAGTCCTCTCCGTCGAAGGTCTCTCCTCTGCCGCAGAAGACACTGGAACGAGCGACAAATTTATTGATGATGCAAATTTGCTTGACGGTCTGGATTTCGACGATCAAGACTTATTTCTCGGTTGGCTTGATGGCAACATGCAACACATGTCCGACTCCTGGCTAGCATGGGTCAATTTTACCTGAATGTGTCAAGCCCGTACAATTAGGAATCAATACCAGCGCAGCGGTATTAACTGCATCGGCATTTTAGCAAGTCCTGGTGTTTGTTCATGGGAGAGCTTTACGATGGCTGGACCTCTGGATGGATCCGCCTGCCCGGGTGGACCTCGGGACCCACGATATCTTAGCTAAACGGACTAACAGCCCCCGGGGCCGCCTGCCGTGGCAGGGCTGGAGGCGCCCAGGTGCCCGCCCGGGGAGGTCGGGCTTACCTAAAACATGTTTATCACGTGGTGTTATGCGCTTCGGGTCATACTGGTCTTCTGTACCTGCTCTCATACTCTCCCGGATAGAATCCCGAACTTCCTAATCCTCCTTCGTTTCCAAACTTCCCATTGGGATTGCCATCATGGACCACTCAATGTCCGAGTCTCAACCCAGAGCAAAACGCCGGAAGATTGCTGTTGCCTGTGATGATTGTCGAGCAAGAAAAGTTCGCTGTGATGGGATACAACCGAGTATGTCCTTGCGGTGACGTGCGTACGGAATGTTACCCGTGCTGACACAATGAAGTGTGCGGGCCATGCAGCAAGAGGACCGACCAGGGGCTCCAATGTGTCTATACAGGGGAGTTAGAGAAAAAGCGACAAAGGCAAACGTAAGCGCTATCAATTCTATGGCTAAGTTAGCCTCTCTTTGCTAATCTCTGTTCCGGTAGTTATATATCCCAGCTAGAAACTCGGATTCAACAACTAGAAAGCCCACGACACTCAGACAAGGGTCCTGGATCAGAATGCACGCCGGTTGGTGTATCATAACGCTCTATTTTCACGATCTAACGGATCTCATTATAGCAAACAAATCTGCTATCACCGACACCTGGTAATCACCAGCCCGACACCCCTGGAAACTATCGAAGCACCCACAGTCAGGCTGATATATCCACGCCGGAGGTTCGAGACGGAGTGAACGCGATGATGGGTGCTGTAGAGGAAGAACGCCCCAATCAAGGTTTCTTCGGAAGCTCTAGCGCAGCGGGGTTCATGCGTCAAATTAGAACCGCAGTCGACAGGAGAGTCGCATCACCTCACCGAAGATCTTCAGGTCCCCGTCTGGCTGTCCCTTCAAGCCTGATGCCAACGCCAAGCGAAAGACATCGGTCTTCAGTGGCAAACTATGTGCTCCCCCCGCGGAAAATGGCAGATAGCCTCATGGAGGTTTACTGGGAATGTGTCTTCCCGTTATATCCATTTCTTGTCCCCGCTGAGATGAAAACCGAGTATACCAAAATATGGACTGGTGCTAGCCTGGAGTATGATGAAAACATGTTTATGTGCACGCTGAATGTCATATTCGCCCTGGCGAGTCAGTTGGCCGATTTTGTCCCGCCAGAAGAGCGAGAAGTATCAGCGGATGCCTTTTTCTCCCGGGCGAAAGGCCTGTTTCAGTTCAACCTCTGGGATACCGGATCAGCAGGTTTGATTCAGTGCTTACTTCTCATGGCCCAGTATCTGCAAAGTACCGATTCTGCACATCAGTGTTGGATTGTCACCGGACTCGCGATCCGTAACGCTCAAAGCTTGGGACTCCATCTGCCCCAAAACATTGCCCGCCTTCAGAGTTTCCAAGAGCAACAGCTGGCGCGCAAAATATGGCACGGTTGTATTTTAATGGATCGGTATGTTCAACACTACGCCCTGACCGGCTAATCTCTGTCATGATTCTTATTTCAATATTCTCAAAGGGTCATCTCTATGACATTTGGTCGCCCTGCGATGATCTCAAAGGCTTCTAGTGGAGCGGTTCCCCTGCCAGCCGCCGTTGACGATGAATATATCCCATCTGGGTCTAGCAAAGAGGTCTGCCAGCCTCCTGATCGGCCTTCAATGATGGCGTTCTATGCTAAGTCATTGGAACTTTACGAGATCATGAACGATGTGCTTCTTAGCCTTTACAAACCAGTTTCCGACGACAATGCGGAAGACATCCATAACTTCCATTTCGATAATGTTGCAAGCGAGGGAGAGCGGACTATCTTTGAGCTCGACCGCTCCCTCACTCGATGGACACGAAGCCTTCTCCCGCACTTGCGTTGGGATTCCTCAACAGTGTCCACGAATCCTATATTTTACCGGCAAAGTATTGTGTTGCGTGCAAGGTCAGTATTCATACTAATGTGTCCCGTAGTATTCTATAGCTAACCAATCTTCTCCCATAGAGTTCTACATGTGCGGATGCTTTTGTTTCGGCCAACTCTCTCTAAATACTGTGCTTTTCGAGATAATGCCACAGCAGACCCGTTAATCTCGACAGACGACTCCTTCCCCCATCGTGTTGCGCTACAGTGCTCTATCATATGTGTCAAAGCTGCTCAAGAATCTATCGAACTAATCTACAATAATGTCCCTGCTGATGGAACTGGTGGCCCCCTGCCGGCTTGGTGGTATAACATCCTTTGTTCGTATAAACCTTGCACAGTGTTCTACTTCGCCATTCTGACTTATCCAGACGTTTATACCTCTGCAACTGTCTTAATTGCTGGCCGTCTGTGCTCTGCGATCCTTGCCGAGGTCACAGAAAGCGCAATCGCGCAATCTTGGAACTATGCACTGGAGGTTCTTCGAAAATATCAAAGTTATAGCACATCAGCTCGTCGCTGTGTGGCGGCCCTTGAAATTCTTTATGAACAGGTTACCTCTGAAGGTCTGCTGCCGATCAACCACTTACCGAGTCATGAGATAGGGAACAACGCAGGTGTAGTGAATGATATGTCCTTCGGCGAAGGAATGAATGCGGCTATCTTGGATAGCTTTGAGTTTCCTGATTTTCAAGATATGTCATGGTTGAACAGTGTTCCGAGCAGCTTTTCCTAGATACCTAACAGCTTTGGTTTACATGGTTTGCGGTCAATCAACACAAGGTTCGGGAATGCCTACAATAATGTCTATCCAGACATGGCTGTATGCGTTACGATGACTACTAAGTACTTTTACCTGGGTAAAATCCAGGACACAGAACAGCCGAGTCTGACAGAGAGCGCTATTCCGAAACGATAGATTGAAACACAGGAGCAACCACTACAAAACGCTTCTCCGTGCAACGAGATCTAGAGGTTTGAGAGAATGAGAACTGTTTCTAAGTGAGCTGAGCCGGTACTCTTCATGTCTTGACTCGGTCTAGTTCTACCAGGTGCAATGTCTTCAGCAAGATGAAGTGTCATCTTAGGCTAGGCGAGCGAAGATTCACGGATAAATAAACAAGACGATGAATTTTCAGGTTTGCAATGATTTGGCACCTTGTAGTCGTGGTCCAAGCCAAATAAATGGAGAAAAGTTCCACCAAAACAAGAACACTTGAAGAGGCCGGGAACTCAGCAAAAGACGTGATAAAGGGGCAATCCAAAATATGGGATCTCCTCTTCGCGGATCCCAAGACTCCGTGATATCCGTCGACGGGATGGATCGATGGGGTGTGGGGGATATTTGGCAACGGATTGACGCCGCCCTGGCTTGGGCCCACCGTTTGCATTATTAGGTTGTCTCGTTGGACTACCGTCAATTACAGGCCATAATCGATGTGAATCAAGTCGATCCCACACTGATATTGCCCAGCAACCCGGGGTCAGAGGTATACCATCGGACCTTGACCCGGAATGCCTTCGGGATGTGACCCGAAACCCTAGATGAATGCACCTGTGTTGCCTGGAATATCACATCTGTCTATAACTAGCGTTCACTCATTTCTCTCTTATTCCTTTCCCATTTCCCTCGCATTGTTGACTGTTGACTACATACTTTTGCAGATGAAAATATCCCAAGAACACTCTCGGGCGAGCAATGACCGAGCAATTTCTCCGTTCTCCGCCAAAGCCCCGCATCCCTAGACTTCCCCGTACAGTCTCCCCCTTCCCCCGGTGGGGTTGATGTGGAGTGAGTCTTCTCCAGATTAAGCTTAGAGGATTCTTGTATGATTCGTGGATTCTCAATCAAATTGGTGGGTCTCTTGGGTCTCAAAAGACGTGTGCAAAGAGAAATAGAATTGAAATGGAGCTGCGCTTTGCTTCCATAGATAGTCGGCTGATTCGGGGCATTGATAGTCCGACATATTGGGATCGTTTATAAAGACAGGTAGAAATTCATGACGGCTTTGTCAAAGAAAACCAATTCCCAACGCCCCACATGCGCGCTTCTTTGCTGGCAGCCTTCACGGCGGCTACTGCTGCCACGGCGCTACACGTCGCAGAAAACCAGACTTACATCACTCTCGCCAATGATCGCCTCACAGCCGTTCTTCAGAAGAGTGTTGGTCAGATCGTCGATCTCACTCTGGATGGTCAGGACTTATTGGGCACCCAGTCGGGATCCACTGGAATAGGGCCCTATCTTGACTGTTACTGCACCCCTTCGGGCTTCTACACAGCTGGTGCCACATCACCGAGCATGGAAGTAGTCCAGGGCACAGATTCAACTGGAACCAAATATGGAGGCATGATTCTAAGTGACACATATACTCCGACAGGCCAGCAATTCCAGCAATACTGGTTCCTGCGCGATGGCGAGACTGGTTTGCATATGTTCAGCCGATTGGCCTACCATAATGAGACCACTCCTTACCTTCGCAACTTGCAGGAGTTCCGAACCTTGTTTCGTCCAAATACCGATCTCTGGACGCATCTGACGTCTAGCGAGCTCCAGACCGCACCCCGGCCAAGCAAAGACGCGATTTCGAAGCAGATTGTTGTTCAAGATGCAACCTGGGCATTCAATAACACCCCAAGCGATGCGTACTACACCCAGTTCTCTGAATACTTTACTAAGTATACATTCTCAACCCGTATGGTCATCTCCTATTCCCTACCATTGCTGATTGCTGTATTGACTGAGTCATGCCTTTTTAGAATGGAGAAATAACACAGTTCACGGTCTCTATGCTGACGGCAGCACCTCAAACGGGGCAACATATGGAGCATGGCTAGTGATGAATACTAAGGTTGGTCATATTGCTCCGATCTTCACCGAGATTGAATCCCATCTGACAAATTCATATTAGGATACATATTATGGTGTAAGCGGTATCGAGCGTAGTGGAATGCAGGGGCTGACATCTCTCAGGGACCACTCCATTCTGACTTGACAGTGGACGGTATCGTTTATAACTATATCGTTTCAAACCATCATGGAGAGGGCACGCCAAACATCACAAATGGATTCGACCGCACCTTCGGTCCCCAATTTTACCTTTTCAATGGCGGCAAGGGCTCAGCATCTCTCCAGGAACTGCGATCTGAGGCAGAGGAATTCGCGAATCCTCATTGGAACGCTGCATTCTACGATTCCATTGCAAAACATGTCGTCGGATATGCTCCCTCAAGCCAGCGAGGCAGTGTCAAGGGAACCGTGAAGCTTCCCAAGGGGGCCGTCCGCCCGATTGCCATTCTCACTGTTGACGGTCAATACTTCCAAGATAATAGCGCCGTTCCAAGCTCCTATCAGTACTGGACTGATATCAATCAAGATGGAGGCTTCAGTATCGATCGTGTTAAAGAAGGGAAATACCGGCTCACTATTTACGCAGAGGGGATTTTTGGTGACTTTGTGCGCGACGGGGTCATCATTCGTGCAGGAAGGCAGACTGCACTACATGATATCTGGAACCAGGAGTCGGCGGGAACCGAGATCTGGCGGATTGGGATTCCCGACAAATCGTCAGGGGAGTTCCGACGTGGCAATGCGAGAGACCCAGCCCATCCGCTTCATCCTCCCGAGTATCTTATCTATTGGGGAGCTTATGACTGGCGTGCTGATTTCCCTGATGGTATCAACTACACTGTCGGTACTAGCGATCCTGCCACTGATCTCAACTCTGCCCATTGGTCGGTTTTCGGGCCAACGGCAAAGGATTCCCACGTCGAGTATGACACAACGTACGACTGGAACATCAATTTCAAGCTCAGCTCCAAGCAATTGAACAAGCGTAAAACAGCCACATTGACCTTGCAATTAGCGGCCGCCAAGACCGCAGCAGGCAACACCGATGTGTGGAATCCCGTCGAGCCATACAACAATTTGTCACTGGAAAGTTACATCAATGGTCAGGCCGATCCCCTGACTCTCACAGTTGGGTTCAATCAGTCAAGCAGCTGTATTGTGCGATCCGCTGTAAGCTGCTACCAGGTTGGGTCACGAATGGAGTTCCCTGCAGATTGGTTACATGTCGGAGACAATGTGTTGCGATTGCATTTACCTTTCAACGCAACGGATACAGAGACTGCCATTCTCCCCGCCACTGTTTATGTACAATACGATGCTATCCGGCTAGAGCTGAAGTAATATAGCTCTGTCATGACGTGTTACGCTTTCGAAAATAGCCGAATCAAACTTATCTCCATTCTTCTACATTGGCCATGGCACTTAAGGCTTGTCTGGAGTCTGGCCTCGAGGTCAGCTGATAAAACCAACCTTGTTGACTGAGTTACATACCCATGGTAAGTCGAATGCATCAAATAGAGTCATGGCATCATGGCTGGCTCCCTTCGATCCAAAGAGATAAGTAGATGGAAATCAGGTCTACCTCCTTTGAGAGCAATGCAAAATGAAGATGGTCTGGCCGCAGTATATCAAAGGCTTTTATTCTCAATAGAAATAAATACATATGGTTAAAAGTCCCAGGGGCTGGTGACAAACGAAAGGCAAATGAATGGCAAGATCTGCTCTCGAGAACAGCGATCCCACAAATTTGAGAATGCCGGCCTAACAAGATCGGATAAAAGAGGCCTTAACAGGTGTTGCAAGTGTACATATATGTACTTCGTACTAATATCCATTTTCAGCGCTCCCGCACGAGACCGCCACAATTGACAGGTTTGATGGTTCTCGTTGATATTTCCATGGCGGAAAAGGGTGCATCCGATGAAATGTAATTTACAGAAGGCCGCCGAAGCTGAGACATGGGGCGGCAACGCCGACGAGGTTGTTGTTCTATTGAAATCAGTGACTCTGTTCCTCTTCCGTCGTTTTGGGGGAACACATACAGCCTGGGAGTTAGAGTTCTGGCAGCAGGCAATGTTCTGCTGGCAGTTCTTCTTGAGGAAGTCAGTCAAGCCAGCAGCGCCAAGAACTATAATATGGTCAGTCTCGTGCTTGAGTTCCCTACAGTAGATATGTCACTTACCAGAAACAGGGATGTCAAGCTGGGTGCAGCCCTGGCCGAGGCCGAGACCGTCGCCGCCAATGATACCGAGAACATTGGAGAGCGCACCAATGTTGTTCTGGCTGACACCCTCGTTCTTGTTGATCTTGTTGCAGCAAGACATCTCAGCACCGTTACCACACTGGTTCACTGCGTGTTTGACCTTGTTGTCGGACTCGGGAGCAACACCGGCGGCAGAGCCCGAGCCAGGCAGGGCCATGGCGGTAGCAGCGAAAAGGAAGGCAGGGACGAAGAACTTCATTTTGAATATATTGGAAAATGCGAAAAGCAATTGAAGGTGGGTAGATGGAGAGAGCTTGGAAGATTTGGAAGATGAGAGAGTTAGATGATGGATAAAAAAACGACCTTGGAAATATCGTGCCTTTTATAACTTTTCTGCTCGTCAATATTCTCTCCCGTCCTTTCTATCCATGTTTCTGTGCCCAGAAAGATCTGATTGTCACCCAGCATGTAAGCTCCTAGCACTGCAGGGGGAGTGGATGCCCTCGCGAATTATTGCTTTTGGCCAGCAGAGTAGGGCTTGGCTGACATGAATTATCGACTTTCGACGATCCATGCTCAGCCATAGGCGTGAAAATGCATGAATGTGTCCAAGTTTTCCCCTGCCGATCAATGGACCCTGCCGGTATGTTCCCCAGACGCCGGCAGGAAGAGATGTGCATAGATTGCATATGGAGGTCAGGAAACCCTAACGCTTGGGGCTCTGATTGTGATCTTCGGCATTTGTAGTGACGCTATTTGCTCTTTTCCTTTTTTTTTTGCTTTTGAATCTGCCTGTGACGTCTCGCTTCCTCCGGGTTGTGGATTGATCAGTTGATGAATCTGATCTATCACTTCCCATCACACCGATCTTCTTGCTTTTGTTGGGTTCATTTCCCATGTTTTCTGCGTTTAAGCGTTGCACAGGTCAAGTTAGAATCGTTGGTTCCCGATTTGAAATCGATAGTCGCATGCGTGGCGCAGGAATCTCCTGCGTCGTGCATGACGCACCCCTGTCAGCCACCAACAACCACATCTTCTCCCCAGGTCGTCGGTACGCTGGATCACAATTGAGTGATACGCTCGAACCACATTGCAGGAAACCTAAAGCCGTAAAACCCCAAAGTCGTCACATACAGCTGTACGGACAAGATATTCTATCTGTGCCTCTCTAACAAAGAAATCTCAAGTTGTAATCTCGTAAATTTCTACACCGTTCATCAGTATATGCATGATTTCGTATACCGTCACAAAAGTTCTCGTATAGCCCCTTGCCTACCACGTAAAAGACTCCTCCACAAATTTAATAGAGCGGTGGCCTTGGCGCATCGCTAGATGCGTGGCGGCGCGCGCTTCATCCGCCACTCTGGGCGGGCCACATACGAGGATCGCAAGACTAGTACCAGCTGAACATGCGTCGCTGGCCCGGCTCATGATCAGGGATTGAAGGTGAGGTCGACCTGACTGGATCTCGAATCCAAAATCGGTATGATCTTCAGAGGATGCGGTGAAATCACGCGTAGCGTAGAACGAGGCACTAAAGTCCTCTCGTTTGAGGGCGTGCTTCAGTTCCTGGCGAGCGACATCGTGAATGAACGCCGCTTGTTTAGTCGTCCAAACAAGCTCCATGTCTCGTACCCGTGTTTTCTCATTCTCGGGGCTTGCATCCCAGTCTTCAACCGACCGGCGGAGATGATCTTGAATGTAAGGCACAGCAGACGCTATCCCCGTTCCACCGACAATAATCAAGACTGATTCATATCTCCACAATGGAAAGGTTTCTCCATAAGGGCCCTCGAGAAGAATGGTTGGTTCGCTTGTCTTGGCTGGTGAGCTCAGACATTGCCGGCGCAACTGTTTGGTCCAACCGTCATATGGGCGAACCCAGAAAGTCAATTTCAACTTCAACGGTTTTCCTTGACCCGAAGAGCCACTTTCTGAGTTGCCTTGGTAATCTCGATCGGAGGCGCCGCCTGCAAGAAGCGGCATATGCGAAACATCAAGCGATTTGATCAGCTTGCCCTCGGATGTCGGTACCAATGACGTCTGGTCCCCTATTTCGTAAGACCAAGCTCCAATTGTAAAAGGATGGCTCTCCCAGCCGGTGAGCCGGAATGGTTGATATAAAAAGTAGTACTGTCCTGGTGAAGGGTGTAGCAAAGGCGTTCCTGGTGTGACCTCCAATCGCACCACGTCGGCCGTCTCATCGTAAACCATGTGACTCGCAGAAACCTCCACAAGTCTTCTGTTTGAAATACTCACGTGAATGTTACAGTAACACAATCGCACAAGTCGAAGGAAGCGATCAATGACCCATAAAGCTAGTGTGGGCCACAGGTACTTCCAGTATTCGTTCCCTTCAAATATGACTGTGTGGCTGCCAATTGTTAATATATGCGGGAATTTGATCAGGCTGGAGTACTTACTAAAAGCACCCGACAAGAGTGAGAATCGAAAGCACAACATGAGCAATCAAGAAGAGCTCATATGTCGCAATGCGAATCCGATCCAATGAGGCGATCAACAGCAGAATCATCACGAATGTGCCCTAATATTACATGAGCATTAGAAGATCAGTCAACTTGAGATCAGCCAAATTAGCAGCCTACCAAAATACCCCATAAAACATAGGTCTTAGACAGACCCTTCCAAGCTTTGCCTGCTGTGATGTCGCAACAACCGTAAGCATACTAGCCTGCATTAGGAATCGAGTGCTCAATACTTACTTTGAATGAACATGACAACGTAAAGGATAGAGTGCACCGTTGCCTGTACAGTAGCCACCCGGGCTACATGACGATGGAATATATTGAACGATGCAAAGCTCCATCCGGTGGCCCACAAGAAAATATTATTTCGTCCCCCAAAGAGCCATAAAAGGGGCAAATTCGCAAATGACATGATCCCAGTACGGTCTGCAGAATAACGCAGAATCTGGCTTGGGACATCGGGATAGCTTGAGATTCTGTCAATGTTTTGCACGTTTTCACTTCCACGGGCTCGGTACGTACTAAATATTTCCGGGAAAAGTGCGATAGCCCACGACACTCAATACGATGCTGATCGTCCAGAACCCCACTACTATAAGCGCCTCAACTCTGGTGGAGAACGTGAAGCCTAGCAGATGTCGACCATGTGTTGTTGCCAAAGGCGCTGGAATCATCAGATGAGTCTGGATCCAGTGAAGACCTGTCCCCACCAATGGGACATTTCCTAAGTACTTTATGAGAGGATACACATTGGATTCGAGCGCACGCTCTGCACGGTGTTGTCGGCGGTGGAATAACCAATTGCTCAGACGATAGGCTATCCCCAGTGACAGAATGCCGGCCCAATATGCGTATCCAACATACCTGCTCAGTCAATATGTGAATGTTTCGCTTTCCAGCTGGTACAGACTTACCCAAATGCATGATGTGACCAAGTTTCAAATTCCCAAGATTCCTAGGACGTCGATAAGCTTTAGGGCTATTAGATTGCAGGATTGGCCGAAGGGTCTCACAATCGTATTGAACATTAGATCAAAGTAAGACGCAGAAAGAAGGACAGGCATATCCGCTGGTTCGTCGCGGGACAACTCTTGATAGTCGACCCTTTTCATATTCCTTATTGCATCCTCTGTCAGATTTTCGGCGACGGCTTCTCTCGACAGCAGCTCAAACTTCCCAAATTCTTGACACTGGTCAGCCAGCTGGGTCAGGCCTATCCCCCGACCTCTCTCATTGCAATATGTTTCAGACGCGGCGTATATCGATGCGACTTTGAGCGGATTCCGGCATTGCGATTCCCAAATGTCTTTGCCTTGTGTAGGAAGGCCAACGAATGATATGTAGTTGTATGCCGAGCAAATAGCCGTCACACACCGCTCGTCCTCATGATTGGCCCAGACACCCTGGGCGAGTGCGATCACCAGCCAACGGAGCAACATGGTGAGTCCCCAGACTGCAGGTCGGTCTGGGGTGAGCGAAGAAACGGTTGAAGACGAAAGGCGGAGCACCGGCAGTAAGCCGATAATCGCACTGGTCAGGTGGGCCCATGTGGATCAGCGAAGTCTCTGAACCGTTCAGTCGTCGGACCAAAATCCCTAAGGAATGGAATCCGAAGAAGAGCCGACTTGGATTGTGACACAAAATTCCAAGACAACTTGCAATGAAATGAAAAAAAAGGAAAAAGGAAGAGAACTAGGTTAGTTTGTGGGGAACTCAGAATCCATCCCCCTAGCCCTGGAGAACATAGACGTCTTATCTGATCTGATTGATTAGACAACAGCCACGTGACACCATGATTAGCTTAGCTCATTTCAATTTCAGTCATTTCAAGCAGCGCCGTATATTTACTCTGTAGGTATCTAATTTTGTTCTAAAGTAATCCACATTCATGTCTACTCCGTACTCTACTCCGTACTACTTGTGCAATTTGGTCATTACCCATTTCCGTTGCGGTAGAAGATTAAATCCCATGATATGCTCGTGATATATATCCATGGATGAGGGGTACATGGATAGATACCTAACTACGGACATTACAGCACCATCCAAAATTTCGCTATTTGTAGCCGAACTCTCCAATCATTAATTTACATACATAGTGCCCCAAATATAGATTCCAAAGAAAGTTTTGGTTAGCAAAATTTGATGGCGAAAACCGATCATGTGATCTACAATACATCAATTATTATCCGGCAGAACAGTGGGCGGTCAATAATGATGATGTCAGGGGATCTTTTCCAAAGTTATCCACAGCTGAAATTCAATAGATGTACATCTGAGCAACTTCAACTGGTCTGCTTAATGGGAGGAGGCAAGCGAATTCCACCAATGAATAGCCAAAAGCTGGCATCCGATCCGGGGCAGAATGTATACCTTTATGCGGTGATCGATTTGGGCAGGTAGGCAGACCAAATCCACTTCGTTGCCCTTTGAATGTGCCCGGGTGAGGACTGTTCACTGACTTAAAATATTGCAGTAATGGCATCCGTTGTTCGATCTCGGACCTCTCCCCGCCAACGACCCGCGTCATCCCTACTGTACATTATCATCGGGTCAACATCTCGCTCTACGAGGCTCAAGTGGATCCCGACTCAGGCAGACGGATTCCCATTCCACAGCATGTCATCGACCGAGTCGTTAGTGCCATAGTTCGTTTCCAGATTGTCTGCGTAGAGATTGGAGTTCCTGCTCAGAACGTTCGGATCATCGCCACGGAAGCAACTCGAACTGCTATCAATGCTTCTGCGTTCATCGACGCCATCCGCCATAAAACCGGGATTTCGGTGGAAGCATTACGAAAGGAGGAGGAGGGAGTGATCGGGGCATGGGGCATTGCCAGCAGCGTTTCAGATGTGGAGGGACTCGCGCTTGATTTGGGCGGTGGGAGCATGCAAATGACTTGGATCACATCGCATGCGGGCAACGTGCATATGAGTTCCCAAGGATCAGTGAGCTTTCCATACGGAGCAGCTGCATTGACTCAGAAACTTGCAGACCTCGAACGGGGAAAGAGCAAAGGGGAAGCACACAAAGCTCGGGAGCAATTTCGCGGGGAAATGGCAGACAACTTTCGCGCCGCTTTTGATACCATCAATGTCCCTGAACATCTCGTTCAAAGGGCCCGAGATCAAGGGGGGTTTCCTCTTTACCTCTCAGGGGGAGGATTTCGAGGATGGGGCTATCTTCTGTTATATCTTCACCAGACGAAAGGCCAAAGTTACCCTATTTCGATTATTAATGGGTACACCGCAGCTAAGAAAGATTTCGAGGACACCGAAGCTCTCAAAGAGGTGGCTCGGACGGCACACGAAATCTTCCGTGTCTCAGACCGGCGGCGCAAGCAAGTGCCGTCGGTGGCGTTCTTAGTCAATACCCTGGCTGAATCATTACCACATGGAATCAAAGAGGCCCATTTCTGCCAGGGTGGAGTACGGGAAGGAGTGCTGTTCCGTGAGATGCTCCCGGTTGTCCGTCAGCAGGATCCCTTGGAGGTTGCGACGGCGCGTTATGCGCCCTCGTCGGCCGAGGGGCTGGCCGCTTTATTGTTGGCGGCGCTGCCTCGACCATCTACTACCCGATCGTTCCCATCTTCCATCAGTCTTCACCTTGTCCAGGCCTTTGCTAATGCCCTCTATTACCACGCCACAATGTCCAAAGAACTGTCCTCTAGTGCCGCTCTATATAGCACTAGCACTGGGATCCTAGCCTCCACACATGGTATTCCACATGACCACCGTGCTCTCCTGGCACTAATGCTCCAGGAGCGTTACGGCGGAGAATTGCCACCCAGAGACATGGAATTCAAGACCCACCTCCAGGGAATCTTAACACCGGAGGAGGTTTGGTGGACACGGTATCTTGGAAAACTCGGCCTCGTCCTAAGTCAACTGTACCCAACCGGTTCTATCGACACCTCCAAGCCTCGGATTATCCCCTCAGCACAATGGAAGAATGGGTTAGGGAAGAAGGGCAAGAAAGAAGGGCTCGACTTGACAATTTCTATTCAGAAAGTTGCATATGACCCGTCTCACTTGAGGCAGGAGCTCGAAAATGATGTGCAGAAAATCCAGAAGGTGGGAAAACGGAAGAATTGGATTGGTGGAAGAAATGGCTGGGGCATCAAAGTGCAGGTCTCAGTCTTAGAGGAGGATTTAGTGGCTCGGTGAGTGGAGAAACATAGGCCGCGCAGTCGGCCCATTACGTTCTACACACCGGTAGAATGTAGATCTGCATCCCTGTGATCGTTGAATTATGCCAGTCCATATGGCGGCCCTAGATACAGACACGCGAGAATATGCCTGGTTCCATATGAATATCCGTTGACTAGATCCATCATGATTCCACAAGTGGCCTTTCCTTATGCCTGTGGGTTCCTCAAGGTGGTCACGCAGACGAGACATGTGTCTCCGCAAAACTCCAGGACACTCGCCTGGGATATAATTTCTATGACCGCTAACATCAACCTAGGTAATATACCTTGAAAAACAAACAAAAACAGAACAAATAGCCCTGGAACTTCTAGGCAACCACGAAAACGGAAGGAAATTAAATCAAAATGGAGTCTGCGATAATCCAATGATCCAATAGCACGTTAGACCCACACAATGAATGAAGCTTGTCTCACTGTCGATACCTACATATGTAGGTAGCCCTATAGGGCTGAGAACCATGGTAGTGTATTTCCGCGGATTCAGTCCGAGGTTGCATCCGAGTTACACCTTCTTTCTCTTATCTGATCCTTTTATCTGATCTTTCTCTCTGCTCCTTTTTCCTTCCTCATGCCCAATCATGGAAGCCAACAACAAGGATATTAATCTCCTGGAGAAATCCATTCGTGAAAAGGAACTCCAGGATGGTAACAATACTGATTCTGGTAAGTCCATTGTTTCCTTTTTCCCCATGCCCTTTTTCTCGAGATTCTTACATCACTACAGATGCAGATTCACAGACCGAAGTATTGCGGGCTGCTGGTATAGGCATAGCAAAAGATGATCCTACTGAGCCAATTCTCACTCTACGTATGTGGGTGATAGGAATTGCCTTTTGCGTGGTGGTTAGCGGGCTGAACACACTTTACACGCTCCGTGCCCCTTCTTTGACAATTTCGGGCTCGGTGGTACTCTTTTTGGCCTATCCCCTAGGAAAGCTTTGGGAGAAAGTAATCCCAAACTGGACGCTTCCGCTAGGACGATTAGCATTCGATCTCAACCCGGGCCCTTTTAATACAAAGGCAAGTGCTCTGGGAGAAAAGGGTTACAGGGAACAGTCTAACAAGGATTCTCCAGGAGCACGTTCTGATCTATATAATGTCCAATCTCAGTATTTACGTTCGTCTTGGCGCCGATGTTCTGACAGAGCAGCAAATGTTTTACGGCTACAAGGCAGGATGGGGATTCCAAATTCTCATTACTTTCTCTACATTTTTCATCGGATTCTGTCTTGCGGGACTATTCCGGGCGATTGTAGTAGTTCCTCAAGAGCTGATCTGGCCTGGGGTTCTGGGCGTTACTGCGTTGACCACAACCCTACACCATGTCAACCAGGAACGAGTGCAAGTGCGGTAAGCTCCCTGAAATTATTGTCTCGGTGCGATGGAACTGATGGATTGGATGGCAGTTACAATACGTGGAAAATGTCTCGCTATGCCTTCTTCGCTATGGCACTTTGCATCTCGTTCTGCTGGTATTGGTTTCCGGACTTCATCTTCCCGGCGCTTAGCTATTTCAGCTTTCCGTGTTGGATCAAACCTGAGAGCAAAGTAGTCAATCAGATATTCGGAATGCATTCTGGAATGGGACTGTTACCGATTACCTTTGATTGTGAGTGTCATGTCTTTGCAAGTCAACTACCATGCTGACGGGGTTCATAGGGAGCCAAGTATCTTACGTTGGATCTCCTTTGCTCATTCCTTCATGGGCAGTTCTCAACGTCTTCATTTCCCTAGTGTTCTGGATTTGGATTGTGGCTGTTGCTTGTTACTATACCAATGTATGGAACACAGGCTACCTACCTTTTCAAAGTTCTCAAGGTACAATCAATTGTTCAAGCTCTCAGGATGACCAAATCTGACTTGTGCAAACAGTATTCGACAACACTGGAAAAACTTACAAAGTCGAAAAGGTTGTTAATGCGGCCTCAGGCTATCAGCTCGATGTTAAGAAGTACCTTGCTTACTCACCGGTATTTTACAACGATAAGATCGAAAACTTGACATCCGTCTAATTTAAGGGGGAAATAGGTCTATATGCCAGTTACTTACGCGCTGAACATGTTTGGGCTATCATTTGCCACTCTGAGCGCTCTTCTTGTTTGGGTTCTGCTTGAAAGGCGTCATGTCATGGCCGATGCAGCCAAAAGGGTGCCTCGACTGGTCCTGGAGTCCCTTCCCGGTCGCTCCAGAGAGTACAGCGAGGATGAAAGAGGGGACCCGGATGTGCCCTTATGGTGGTATTTGGTTGCATGCATCTTAGCCTTATTCATGTCGATGTTCGCCGTTGAGTGGTGGGATGTTGAACTAAGATGGTACGGTGTTTTGCTGGCGTGTGCTGTGGCACTGATCTTCTATCCTCCGGTGAGTCTTTCCTATACCGATTGGTATATCTGACACGTCTCTCTGACCAATATTAGTTGGCTTTGGTCTATGCCACTTCTAACCTCAAGATTAACATCGATGTTTTCTGCCGTATCGTGGCTGGTTTTGTCTTTGAGGGCAAGGTCCTGGCCAATATCTGGTTCTTTGACATCGGATACATCACGACCATCAAGGGTCTTTACTTTGCCCAGGATATGAAACTGGCATACTATTGCCATGCAAGCGCTCTCCCTTCCTACTTTGGTTGAACCATGCTGATACCCCGAAGATCCCTCAACGAAAATTGTTCTTAGTTCAATGCGTTGGAATGCTTGTCGGCACGCTCTCCTCGCTCGGTGTCCTCAATTGGGCACTGAATCACATCACCGGAATCTGCACTAGCGCTGCTGTCAATGGTTTCAGTTGCCCTTACAGCAGCACCCACTTCAATACTTCTCTGATCTGGGGTGCAGTGGGCCCTCGTCGCTATTTCTCGAACCAAATTGGTTATTCCGCTTTGCTTTATTTCTTCATCCTCGGTGCCATTTTACCAATTACTGTCTATTATATGACCCGCCGATATCCCAAGTCTCTGTGGAGAAGGGTTCATGTTCCCCTATTCCTCGGGGGACTGAATTACCTGCCCCCTGCGACTGGGATGAATTACGGCAGTTGGGCAGTTGTCGGACTCACCTTTGGCTGGTTCATTCGAAAGCGCCTGCATAGCTGGTGGAGTAAATATAACTTTGTGCTGAGCTCTGCCATGGACTCATCCGTGGGAATTGCCGGTGCGGTGATTTTCTTCACGATTTATTTCACTGGCGCCAGCGACCATTTCAACTGGTGGGGAACAGATGTTCACAAGGTGTGTGGCTCCCTTGCGTTTAATCATTCCTACTGACTGTTAGCAGAACACCTGCGACTGGAAAGGCTGCGCAGATCTTTCTATACCAAAGGGGGGGAAATTCGCCATGTAGAATCCCATGTACTAATGTGCCGTCTACCTGAGATGTATCCATCTCTTTTGACCGGTGCTTGGATTCAGAGTATGGCAAAGATGAGCGTTTTGCACCTGATTATCTGTTGACCTGATCATATGGGGAATTTTGTTGTGTGGTTGGGAAGCAATGATAAACACTCTTAACAGCTAGATGGACAGCCCATGAGAGAATGAAGTTATAATAATGAAGTTATAATAATAGAGCGACCATTGCATAGCTTGGGATATTCCAATGTAGCTTATCTAGACCTCTACTCCTTCCTCCATCTAACGTCAAGTCCTAGGTAGAAACAAAGATAGAAACTCGACTAGAACTTGCATGTATGTACATCCCTGGCATTCAGACCTAGTGGATTACATCTTGACATATTCCACAATAGCCTTTTCATACCCAATGCATATGTACATAAACCATACATACATAAAACTGCCTGTCAATTTCCTTCTGGTTCCTTGTAACATTCATTAAAACATGGAATCCTTCAAGTGGTATTTGCGGTATTTGTAGTATTTTTTCAAGTGGGCCGGCCCAATACGAAGTCGCCGATGTCGGGATGATTGATTAGATGAGCCCGATTGATTAGATTCGCAAGTCGCCAGGGTTGCACATTCACACAGTGGTGGATGGTAGCTGGGATGTTGTATTTTTCCGTGTGTGGTAAAGCTCAACGATTCCGAACATTGAATTATAGAAGTCTCCTAGGGCTGCAGTACCTGACAGTGACGGTCCAGGTTGTTGGCCCACTCACTGTTCCTTGTCTTTCGAAAAACGAAGACTAGTTTCGGAACGACAAGACCTGCCAAGATTCACTGCTCGATTATTCAGACCAACTTGGAAGCGTGTCCCGGACTGCCACAATTTTACTGACAACGTAGACAATGGGCTCCACTAGGCATCTTCCCGACTGATCGATAAACCCCTGGCATCAGATTCTGCGGACAAGTTATCTGATCCTGAGTGGGGTCCAGTGCCACGAGGGTGTGTCGCTTTTCTTCAATGCCGGTTCCTAGGTAAATTCTGACAACCAATTCTAGACCATGTCACCGTCACGGGAAACCTACCGGACGATCCCCGGTGAGATTGCAGAGGAGAGAATTACTCCGTATACATTGATCCAAAAAAGACGTCTTGCTAGAAGATCTAGATATCTCATCTTATTCCCAACATCCGCAATTTCCGGTATCAGTCCACCCTAAGCGACAAAACTGTCGTCACGAAATAGATTCACAAGGCTTAGCTCAGAGCTTTGCAGCCATCGACGTATTATGCATATGTCAACCGGGAAACATTTCCAAATGTGCCTTGCATATGTTCTCGCTGTACGACGTAAGCGCAGTGCCATATGCAGGGACCAACATTCATGTACTCCGTACTCCGTATACATCGACCTACAAGACTTACCCTCGGAGCTTGCGTATCCTGCCAAGGTTCCAAGTTTCGCATGGAGCCTGAGTGGAGTCTTGTACGACGCCAAGATCTAGAACCAGCCAAGCACAAAAGTCAAAAACCGTGAAATTACCAATACAAAACGTCCGATGTGGAGCCCGGTTTATCTGATGGAAATTAATTGAAATGGGATTAATGGAATTTCTCTTGTGTGAAATTTGTCGCGCTATTGTCGGCTACATCTATAAACCCGCTCTGTCCTAGGTTTCTTTTCTCTGATTTTCGTTCTCCTCAACTTCCATCTACCTACCATGGCGGCCCCGAGAAGTGTACAGCGCTTGCAGCAGACGCTGTCGCATGTGCAGCCTCCTGTTACACCGCAGCTGTCTCTTGTCGCAGGCCCGACGGAGCCACAGCTGCTGGATATTACCTTGGGTGAGCTGCTGACACTTCAAGCACTGCAGTATGGGAGAATTGAGTGCTTGGTCTTCCCCTGGACTGGTGCGCGCTGGACGTATGGCCATCTGAAAGATGAGACCGATCGTCTAGCTCGGGGAATGTTGGCTTCGGGTATTCAAAAAGGCGATCGCGTCGGAATCATGGCGGGCAATTGTGAGCAATACATCTCGGTGTTCTTTGCGGCCGCCCGAGTTGGGGCTATATTGGTGGTTTTGAACAACACGTACACCCCTTCCGAGCTGTATTACGCTCTCAATCACAGTGGTGGGTGATATCCACTTCCCATATTATTGACTCCATACTAATCTCGGCTTTCTGTTCTATTTTCATTCAGAATGCCGAATGCTCTTCATGACACCACGAATTGGACGTCATAATCTCGAGGAAGTGCTTACCCAACTTGGCCCTAATCCTAAAAAAGCTGCGACCTCGGAGTCGTTGGAAGAAATTGTCATTCTCCGCGAAAGCTACAACAACTTCCCCACCTATCACGATGTCATGGAACGCGGCCTGTCACAGGCTGCACATGTGCTCCAGGACCGCGAGGCCGAGTTACAGCCGGATGATGTCTGCAACCTGCAATTCACAAGCGGTTCAACAGGTAATCCTAAAGCTGCAATGTTGACGCATCAGTACGTGGACCATGCACGACAATTCGGTCTTAAAATATAGCTAACTTCTCCGCAGCAACTTGGTTAATAACTCGCGTTTCATTGGTGATCGCATGAATCTCACCTCTTTCGATGTTTTGTGCTGCCCGCCGCCCTTGTTCCACTGCTTCGGGCTGGTCCTGGGCATGCTTGCGGTGGTCACCCATGGCGCCAAGATTGTCTTCCCCAGCGAAACCTTCGATCCCAAGGCGGTTTTGCATGCCATCTCCGACGAGAAGTGCACTGCTCTACACGGTGTTCCGACCATGTTTGAGGCAATCCTTTCCGTCCCCAAGCCCTCGAACTTTGATACCTCAAACCTCCGCACGGGCATCATTGCTGGGGCCCCAGTCCCGCGGCCACTGATGAAGCGGCTCTTTGCAGAATTGAATATGACCGAATACACTAGTAGCTATGGTATCATCCCTTCCATTGGTCTGCCGATCAAGTGCTAACCCAAGCTGTAGGTCTTACCGAGGCCTCGCCCACTTGCTTCAATGCTTTCACCACCGACAGCATCCACACAAGATTGACCACCGTCGGAAAGGTGCTGCCCCACGCTCGCGCGAAGATTATCGATGCACAGGGAAACATCGTCCCCGTTGGTCAGCGTGGTGAGCTTTGCATGGCCGGCTACCAGCTCACTAAGGGATACTGGCATAACCCGGAGAAGACGGCAGAGACATTCATAACCGATGCCGAGGGTGTTAAATGGCTCAAGACTGGCGACGAAGCTTCCTTTAACGCGGAGGGCTACTGTACTATCACCGGTCGCTTCAAAGACATTATCATTCGTGGTAAGTTCGAAACCCCACATGGACATTGATCGCGATTTCTAATTCTGACGTCTGATAGGCGGCGAAAACATATATCCTCTAGAGATCGAAGAACGATTGGCCGCACATCCCTCGATTGAGTTAGCATCTGTGATTGGCATTGCCGACCCCAAATACGGCGAGGTCGTCGGAGCATTTATCGCGATCGCTTCAGGAGCCGAACGACCGGCCGACGATGAACTGCGCACATGGACTCGTGAGACTTTGGGTCGGCACAAAGCCCCACAGCATGTGTTTGTGTTTGGAGAAGAGGGGGCCTCAAGCACGGTTCCTGTGACGGGAAGCGGCAAAGTTCGCAAGGTGGAACTACGGCAAATGGCGATGGCAGTGCTGGCCGAGCGCCAGAAGGCATGAACAGAAGAAAAAGAAAGGGAGCACAGATTGTACAGTCCTTGTGTTGGCCTAGTATAGAGAGTAGATTTTACAGTAATACCCCAATCCTTTGATAAACTAACTCGTGCACAATAATAATCGTAACCCCAAAAATCTGCATTTGAAATAAATTATTTAATTAAATGAGGGGCGTATCTTATCAGATTCTATTGTGATTCGCCCAAGTTCGACGCTTGTAACGTCAGGAACATAACAATGACGAAAAGTGGATCCTGCAGCGAAATGCGTTATTTTCTTGCTGTTTTCCTTTTTTGTTACGCACTTCCCAGAATCAGATTAGATGCTCATCTTGTCTGATCGATGATCGTTACCATTCTGGGTTTGGTGGCTGTATTGGACCTTGGAACTAGGCGCGTATTGTACCGACCTCGGGAGGTACTTTACAACGTCTTCGGGTCCAACCGTGAAGGAATTTCACTTTTCCGTCCACGAAATATTTAGTAATGTTGTACATGTGTGTTGTAATCCTATCGTCTCCCTATGACTCTCGCATATTATGTATAGTAAAAGGCCGACAGAAGACTTAACGGGTGCACAGATGACAAAAGGCTTTACGAGTGTTTTCCGCCATCCTATCGGTTCTGCCGAAAAAAGACTTAGCGTACAAAGCCCTGAGCTTCGTACGTTGTAGTGCGCCGGAAAGACTCGCACAGAATAACTATGTAATCGGAGTTGAGTTCGAGTAAAAACAACCGAGGGATCATGAGGTTCCAAGGTTTCACATTTCACGGCTCCCATCGGATCTGATAATCCGAGCCAAGAAGCAGCCAAGAAAGCAACCATGGACACACTGGACTCCGTATCCGATGTCGGTTTCAATCTGATAAGATCCGGACCCGCATAATCCGATAATATGATGATATGCTTTTTATTTTTATTCGAGTACGTAGCTCATTTGCTTGGCTTTTCTTTCTTGGTTTCTTTTCTTCATTGCCCTTTTCCGCTTTCCTTCGTCTCTTTCTTCGGTTATTGCTCGTGTCTCACACAGCTCTCCTTCTCAACTCACGATGCCCTCCAACGACTTTGTCCGAACTGTATCTCGCAACTTCCGAGTACTTGTGATCGGTGGCTCTTATGGCGGTCTATCCGCTGCATTAGCCCTCATTGATCTTTCACAGGGTCGCCTCCCGCGTTTCAACTACGATCCTGATGCCAAAGCTCCTACGCATCGCATTCCAATACAGATAACCGTAGTCGATAAGCGAGATGGCTATTGTAAGCTCTCAAGAAAATCAACAATTTACTCACCATCACAGTCCCGCTCACATGTGTAGTTCATCTAATAGGATCCCCAAAGGCTCTGGCCTGTGAGAAATTCGCGTCGGAGGCATGGACTCGTTTCCAAGATATTCCCGGGCTCAAGTCTCCAGATCTCGGCTTTATCCAGGGAAGCGTCAGTTCGGTTGATTTCAATGCGAAAGTCGCCCATATTGTCGATACAGAGACCAGCAGCAACCGCACGGAGCCCTATGACTATTTGATTGCAGGCTCGGGGCTACGTCGGTCTTTCCCCACTGTTCCCCAATCCTTGCGGCGAGATGAGTTCCTTAAAGAAGCCAGAGAACATATGGCGAATGTGAAGCAAGCCCATGATGGCATCATTGTCGTCGGTGGCGGTATGTCTTCTCCATCACTATCTGCTACATTCACCCCGCTAACGTCCCCTTTCCGTGAATAGGCGCTGTGGGCGTGGAGATGGCTGCCGAATTGAAGATCCTTAACCCAGCAACAAAGGTCACCTTGATCCACTCTCGAAAACGCTTGTTATCTTCGGAGCCGTTACCCGATGACTTTGCCGAGCGGGTAGTTTCTATACTGCGCGATACAGGAGTCGAGGTCATCCTAGGACAACGCGTTATCGATACGACCGCTGTGGACACGAAAAACGGGGCACGGGTCTGGAACCTCACGCTCAGCGATGGCCAACAACTCGAAACTAGCCATGTTCTAAATGCCATCTCTCAAAGCATTCCAACATCGACATACCTGCCGAAAGAGGCATTGAATGAGGAGGGATACATTAAAGTGCACCGCTCGTAAGGCTATTTCCCCAGAATTGCCACAGAATACTTCTAATGTCCCTGCAGACTACAATTCTCCGGTGCTATCCCTAACGCAGAGCATCATTGGGCAGTAGGAGACCTCACTGCGTGGGAAGGTATCAAGCGCTGTGGTGGTGCAATGCATATGGGCCATCACGCGGCGATCAATATCCATCAGCACATGATGGCAGAGTGCACAGGTGTAAAGCCGGACTATCAGACCCTGCAGCCTTTCCCGTCTGTGATGGGCCTAGCTCTAGGTAAAAAGGCCGTCAGTTATACTCCGAGCGAGGGTACCCGCGAGGGCGAAGACCTGATGAAGACCTTGTTTGGCAAAGACATGGGACATACGAGTGCGTCTTTATCATCCGAAACTTTTGAATTGATAAGCTGACCCAACTTGTAGTCTGTTGGAACTATATGCGCCTCGGCGAGGCATGCTAAGCGTGGCCTAGTAGATCTGGGGGTAGATCTGGGAAGTGTCGAGATTCATTACACTTTGATTTCGATTTCGATTTTGTGTATATTATATCCCCCAAGTATTATTTCTGTAAATTTATAAATCATCTCGTATTCTTAGCCAAATTCCTTTTTTGCTTAGAAATCGGGTTCCACCTGATTCCCCCACGTTCTTTAGCTTCATATAAAACTGCCCCTCCGTTTTACTAGGTAAATCGTATCTCACCTCATCCATATCCACAATGGCACCATTCGGCACTATCTACTCTTATCAGCCCAGTCCTCGGGTCATGAAGGTAAGAAGACCCCTGCAACCACGGAACCCTGAGCTAACCCCTTTCCGATAGGCTCAGGCTGCGGCCAACCTGAATGGCCTGGAGCTGGCGGTTCCGGAATTCGTCTTCGGAAAGACCAACCGAAGCCCGGATTTCCTGTCCAAGTTCCCTTTGGGTAAGGTGCCCGCCTTTGAGGCTGCGGATGGAACAACCCTGTTCGAGTCGGACGCCATCACCCAATACATTGCCGAGAGCGGCCCGGCCGCCGATCAGCTCCTTGGAGCTACCTCCGCCGAGCGCGCCGCCATCCGCCAGTGGATCTGCTTTGCACAGGGTGAGATTCTGGACCCTGTGACGGAGCTGGCGCTGTGGCGTCTCGGTATCCGCCCCTACGATGAGAAAGTCGAGGAGAGCAGCCTCGCGCGTCTGGAACGCTCGCTAGCGTGTCTCGAGACTCACCTCAAGAGCCGCACTTGGTTCGTGAGCAACGAAAAGTTCAGCTTGGCTGATATTACTGTTGCCTCTACCCTGGTCTGGGGTTTCTCCATGGCTATCGATGCTGAGATGCGCCCAAAGTTCCCCTCGGTTGTCACCTGGTACGAGCGCATCCTCGAGGCCAAGGGCGTCAAGGAGGCCTTTGGTGAGAAGGAATACATCGAGAAGCGTCAGGTTCCCCAAGCTTGAGGCTTAATGTGATAAAAAGTAAAATAGCATTAGCACCCATCCGAGAAAGAATTAAGATATGATTTTCGGATTCACGAAGCACCTTAATCATATAAATGAAACAGCCTCCAGAATCGTGCTAGGTATATCATGACATATAAACAACTGGCTCCAGCGGTCGGGCCAGGAACAGTACATATTGACAAGAAAACCAGAAGAGATATTCCACGGGTGGACATCGCATCACAGACGAGCCATCACGCTGCCATCGCCTCGCGCCGTTTCCATCGCCCGCGCGAGGTTTCGGCTGGCCCAATCGGCGATCGCCATGTTCGTGACCATTGGGTTCACACCGCTAGCGCTAGGGAACACGGACGCATCCACGACATACAAACCGTCAGTGCCCCAGACTTGACAATTCGGGTCCACGACACCTAATTTAGGCGACTTGCTCATGCGGCAGGTACCCATCTGGTGTGCACTGGCAAACAAACCTCGCCCCGGGATCAAGGGGGACTTCCGCCGAAGCTCGTCAATCCAACTCTGCAGGGCCGCGTCGTTGGTGCCTTCAGAGGCCTCGGGGTCTGAAGCCTCTGGCCGGATGAACGGGGGAAGGTCGCGGTAAACGGTATGGAACTCTGTGGCGCCTGAGATATAGGCAATCTTGGCGCTGGCAATCATGGCCTCCACAATGTGTTTTCGGTCAAAGGCAGAGACCGTGTAATCAATCCGGCAGCGTCCATCAACGGGATCTGGATAAACACGACCAGAGTCGCGGTCTTTGGTTAAGGTAATGAAGCTCGTGCTGCGGCGCATCTTGGCCGCCCACAGCTTGTGCTCCAATGAGTCTCGCCAGGGGAAGATGGGAATGAACACGGAGGGCATCATTGAGACAGACTCGATCTTCACACCATGTCCATTTCCATCAAGGTCCTCAAACTCGTTGACGACCGTTGTCAGTGCAGAACCTTCCCAGGGGTGAGTCTCCTCGTCAAAGACAGCACCAGCTCCCATAACTGTGTAACAAACAGTAAGTGTCTGTTATGTGCGCTGTGCAGGAAAGTGAAGAGTGCTTACCTGGATGAAGATAAAGGTTTCGGCCAATCTGGGGGTTCTTCAAACCACTACGCAACAGCAGAAGAGGACTCTGCAATGTGCCAGCTGATATGACTACTTTCTTGGCCTTGATAATCACCTTACGCTCCACAGCCCCAATCCCAGCGAGGCCCAAGTATGAATCCCGCGACTTCCAGGTTCCTTGCACGCCGGAAGCAACCTTTCTGCCCTTGACATTAGTGAATAGCACTTTTTCGGCACAGAATCCTTCCATGAATCTCGCGCCGGCCTGGGCAGCGTCAACAAGGAATGACTGCGTTGGACCTTTCTTCCCACCTGAGGCGCATCCTAACGTGCAGTAGCCACAGTAGTGCTCGCCGTGACCTGTGTTTTGGGGAACTGTTTTGGCAGCGTAGCCCAGTTTCCTGGCGCCTTCCAGAATCACCCTATTCTGATGGTTATGCTCAACGTGCTCCTCGTTCACACCCATGCGATCGCAGACGCGATCCAAACTTTTCTGGAAGTCTAGGGAGGTGAAGAAAGGCAGACCAGTATCCGCCCATTCCTGTCGGACATACCCCTGGGTCTGTAGAGATGCCGACCAGTTAACGGTACCCCCACCGCCCCACGTTGAGCCCGCTAGGACTGCCATCGAACCATCATCGCTGGAGATAGCACCCCCGTTCTCAAACATATTGATAAATCCCTTATCCGGGCTCATGGGGAACGTGTTGGATGGATATGAATAGGACTTTTCCACGACCAGCACTCGAAGGCCCGCTTCGGCGAGGTTTTTTGCAGTCACGCTACCGCCGCAGCCACTTCCCACAATAACGACGTCGGTTTCAATCGTTTCTGGCTGGTCCCCAGGAGGGAATTGCAGAAACTCGTATTGGAAACCGTCGGCGGGCTTGCCATGAACAGGGATGCGTGGGAATCCAAGAACAGGGCCTATGGTTGGGCTGGTGATAACCCAACATTTCTTAACGATGGCGGTGAGTCCTCGGTAGGTGGCACGGAGAGGAGGCAATCGAGAGGTGTCCCATCCACGTAGAACCTTTGCCCGGAATTCCACCGGTTGGTCCTGGATCGGAGTGGTGGAACCCGTCATAATCAGCGAGCCCGCACGAGTGTTGAGCGCTGACATGATAAACCCAAACCCATTCCTTCCCTCGTCATGCACATAGTCGCCCAGGAGTCGCTCCACTATGGCGCGGAATTGTGGGTTCGAAGAAACATTTTCTTGCAGATACTGGGTAGCAATATTTACAGCATCGGGTCCAGAAATAATCGTTGACAAGCTGGACACAGCAGAATTCCACTCTGCATCTGAAATCACTCGGTCGTTCGATGACTTGGCAGTTGCCGCAGTGTGAATGGAGGGCACAATTGCGTCAGCCAACGCATATAAGGTCTTCCACTGCAACTCGGAGAAGTAAGTGCTCGAAGGCGCTGGCGGAAGAGGGACATCCTTCGGGCTATATGTGGACACAGCGTCGGTTGGCATATTTGCAAGAGCAAGAGCGAACAACAAGAGCGAACAAAGCTCTCGCAGACCAAGTTCCAATGGTAGAGAGATGGAAATGGAACTAGGAATAAGAAGAGGGATTGTGGAGCAAAGAGAGAAGTCCACCTGGGCACGGGTCCCGGACGCCTATAATATACTAGCTCGGCAAGGTCCCACTATGACAACAGGTACACATTCGGAGTTCGTAAGTTCATCTTTTGGACGATCGTGGAGAAGGTACGGAGTACTCCATATAGACTCGTATGGACTCATCATGCGACTGTGCGCTGTCAGCCTCTCAGCCCTCGCAACAAAAAGGAAACTCAAACCCAAAATCTTGGAAGCCTCGGTTGGAGAAGTGAGCATGGCTTTTGATTCTGGTGGGGTATTGAAATCGACCAGTTAAGATCGTGTGAATCTCCCGTTGACAATTTCACGAAGTTCCCTGGAGAGGCAGATCCCCTCCGAAATAGGCGGCTCACAGGCTCATTTGCGGGGAAATTGCCGAGTTCCAGCCCCATGTGAGAATTTGCACCGAGTTAGAGGAGATGATGTTTATAGTATTTTATTATACTATCTGTTTCATTGGACTGAATTCTAACCTTTTCTCTTAGCTTACTCGTTGGTCACAACGGTGTTCTCTTTATAGAAGTGCCTTTCCCTCTTTTCTGGGAATTTAGCTCGTGTAGATCTATCTCTATGTCTTCCGAAGGACATAATTATTCCTGATATCGGGTAGAAGACAGCTACCTGAACAGATGGAAACTCGGCTCAATTACGTGAACAAGACAATTTGGAAACTCACTCGAGAATGGTGGAACTATCGAGGTGAATTCGGAGAAGGGGTGTTGTCGAGGGCATTCGACTTATGGCAGTCACATCCTGCATAGTATATGCATGAGGTTCTAGTTGAAGACTGTGTGAGGAAGCAAGGATGTTGTTCTCGGGGTTGTGGATGCTGTACGAACTGCCTAAATTCAACATGCCCACTGGCAGCTGGGCATAGTGCTCTTACATGTGGATGTTGCCGACGGGCTCGGGGCTTTGAACTCACCAAAAGGAAGAGAATGGAATATACGAGACCCTTGATTTCCAGGCAAAGAAGAACTTCTATGATCGGATTGAGTTGGCTTCTATCTATCTGGGGAGAACGCTTGGATAGCTATGAGAGCCCTTTTGACCTTATCAAGTCAGGATGTGAGCAGGTTATGCCCTGATTATGACAATTGGGATGACGATTCTTCAACAACAGAACGAGCTTGATATCCACTCCAGTGCCTAGCTCCGATTGTTCTACTGTTTAAAGTATTTGCTTAATAGCCTTTTTTGCCTCGAAGATACTGAAACGTATCAAATTCCTCCAAATTGCTATGGAACAATTTCAACTTTTGATTTGCAAGGCAAAAATGTACTTCTCCGCCCGAGCTCCGACCTCGACCTTTCTCATCCACAATGGAGACACAAACTCCCCACTCCAAATGTAATCTGCCTAAAGAGAAAGTCTTCGCTATCCAAATTGGTTCCGAGGTCTTTCGTCTCTCGGGTGCTTCAATTGCCTCTGATGGTAAACGCCCTTATTCTCCCGTCCAACTTGAAACTGACCCCTTCCAACAGCTCCATCCTACTTCTCACGCTTCTTCGAGGATCAATTGCTCCAGAGTGAAGATGTTGCCAACATCAGGACCCTCTATATCGATCGCGATCCGACGACATTCCGCGAAATCGCTAGACATCTGCAGGGTATGAGAGTCCGTGGACAAAACACAACGCGATGCAGGCTGATAGGTGCACCTAGGCTACCATGTCCGGCCCCAGGATGGCGCGCAATTCGTGAAGCTATTCGCAGATGCGCAGTTCTATACATGTGAGCATTCTCTGTCCAGATACCATGGAGGTAATTGCTAACCCAACAGTGCCCCGATTGATGTCCCAGCTGTTCGAGTCCGAATGCTTCATTCAAATCGGCGACCGACACTTCCAGATCCCTCGCGATATCTTCTCAGGTCCCGGCGATAGCCCAAATTTCTTCACCCTCGGGTTTGCCGCCTTCTTTGCCTCCCCGACGCAAGTGTTCCCGGGTCTTGGCCGCGAGGGTCTCTTGCGACCTCCAGCCATCATCCCCCCAAGCGTGCCGAACCGGTCTGCGGATGTCTTTGATGAGCTCCTGCATCTGCTGCGCGGGTATCCCCTACATATCAGAAACAATGATCATCGGGCTTCGCTCCTACGCGACTGTCGTTACTTCCACCTGCGCGGCTTGGAACAGAAGTTGATACCACATCAGATAACAACGAATCCCTTCAGCCATCGTTTGGAAATAGTCATCCGGCTCGAGGATGTGCGACCGTCTGGGATTCAGTTTGCCTATGATACGATTTCTGGGTCGCCATTGGGTGGAATGGTCACATACACGCGCCCCTTCGTAGACCAGAACGCCGCGGATCTGGTGGTTGAGATCGGCGACGAGTCCAGTCTGATCCATCGGGGGAGCATGCGGGCTGACTTCCTGGGTCTTTCAAAACAAAGAATTGCCAGCCTGTTACAGACCGTAGGGAAAAAAATGAACCTGCCTGATTCACATCCACCATTGGGCCAAATCCCAATCAAGGTCCGTGTCGACCGTGAAACTGATCTCACGGTGGATGGAGAACAAGACCCTCAGCATTTGACGATGCCGAGAGCCAAAGCCGAAGCTCGCGATGGTGGCGTGCCTGCAGTTAAACGTCCACGGGTCGATAATACGGACGATGGGCCCTGGGTTGTTAGGACGGGACAATGGCGATTACAAGTGCAGATGGGGCCTACCGGGGTATACGAAGTTGTCTTGGTTGCTGTCAAATTGGACATCTATACCAGTTCACAGGTCCGAAACCGGTCACGGAAATTCCTTTAGTCGCGTGTACGTCTGTTCGAGTCTCAAACTGCATAATACACCAGAAGACTTGAATGTATGATATCAAACAGATGCCCCCTCGGGAATTGTTGCACGCTGGGCAAACTTGCATTAATATAATTCTGTCTAATCGGAGAATCCTCCCCATTCTTCATCGTCTTCATCATCTTCATCTTTTTCCTCTTCGTCGCTCTCACCGTGCTCACCACGTCCACTTCCCTTCGCCGGAACGGCCGCAATAGCATGACCAGGGTCACGAATGAATCCAGCGACAAAAAATCCTCCAAGGCCTTCTGCGTCACCTTGCCAGGATCGGATGCATGCTTCTAGTGCCTCGTCAGAAAGATCTACCGTGCCCGATGGCCCTGTCTCTCCCTCGGCGGGCCGCTCCTCTCGGACACCTCGTTTCTCCCATCGACGCAAGCCATCGGGCTGCTCATCGCGCCGCAGGAGGCGCCAGCCGCGCTCTTTGGCAACCTGAGAATTCAGAATGCGAGCCACGACGCCCTCATTCTCAATCAAATGAATAGAACAAGTACTGTACGTCACACGGGTAGCATTCGAGAAACGCAGAGCGTGTTCAACGATTCGCGCTTGGATGCTTGATAGTTTGGTCAGTCGCTCTGGGTCGATCGTCCCATCCGGGATATCATTTTCATCCGTGGGCGCTGCCTGCGGATTTCCCATGGTGGCTTTGGACTGTTCACCATCTGCTTCGTCTTCGTTGTCTGGGCGTTTCCTCTTCTTTCCATGTGACTTGGGCGCCTTGTACGCTGCAGCGGCAGGGAGTGTAAACTGAGGGACATCGTCACGGCCGATGATTCCGCTACCAGAACAACTGGGATCCAACAACAACCCGGTGACATCTTCAAACCGTTCATCTTCTGGGTCAAGTGCAAGGAAATCCTGACCCTGTAGCACAGTGACCGAGTCAGCCCCGGCCAGACTAACCATTTTCTGTAGCGTTTTGGAACGCATGGTGGAGGCATCCATGGAAAAGATTCTCTGTTTGCTGTCTTTGTTGCCCTTTTGTTGTTTGGCCATAATCGAAGCCAAGTGTGTAGTCTTGTTCCCTGGGGCAGCGCAGCCATCGATTAAGTCGCCATCCCATGGGTCGCTAGGCCCACGGTCACCCAATAGGAGATACGCTGGGAAGCAGGACGCCTTGTCCTGGAGAATTATTTCTCCATTTTTGTAGGCAGAAGAGGCAGTGAAGTCTGCACCGAAAGGTACCGCCACCAAATCTGGGATGTTAGGATCCATGAACAATCGAGGCTCGGGCTTTCGGCTTTCCAGCTCGTCTTCTGGGGCCAAGTCTGCAATAGTGTCTACCCGACGGTAAGACTTGAACGTAGTACTCAGCTGCTCTTCAAGTGTAGTGCGGATATTATTGATGCGCACCCAGCGCGGGTAGACGAAGTTGCTGGTTCCATCAGCCAGTCTTTTCTCACGTATGACAACAGCCTTAAATTGCTCGACATTGGCGCATCCACGACGGACACGAGCCTTGGTGAACTCGGCCCTTAGCCTGGCCTTGTGACGCTCCACAGTCTGGCGGAGTGTGTGGGTTGCCGGCGCGGCAATGCCCTTCTTCGCGAGTAGATGATCATGAACGAGGAGAAGAGCAAGGAGTGGAGAGAGCTAGATGCAAATCACTTAGTCAGTCAGTAGGGATCTCCGGCGGCTTCTCCGCGGTCGTCTCACCTTGCGCTCCAGGGCGAGAATGCCTGATTTGTCAATGACGTCTGCCAGCACGGTGTCCCATTTAGCAGCCTCGGTGATCAATGCATAAATCTGCGCTGGAGATGCGCGTAGGTTCCGAGCGCTGTAAACCCGGGACTTGAATGAGCCCCCTGAGGAGGGTGCAGTCAAGATTGCAACCGCATCAAAGTAGAGGGACATTGGGAGTAAGAATGTTGGTCGGAGAAATTGAGGATTTTCGCGATCGAATTGATATTTTGATGTTGTTTGTTCTGTTTGCATCGAATTGTATACAGAGTTGAATCATGACTATACAGCTGTCATGACTTATTCTATTGGCTCTCAAGACGTGACAGCTTCGCCGCGATAAGACCATAATTTCGTCGTCTTCAATCATATCCAGCTCAACAATGGGTAGCGTCCAATATTTTGTGACTGATCTCGATATCTACATGTATATGCTTGATCGGCTTTCCGCTATGACCTCTAGCTCCTTCAACTCCCCAAATTGTCACCATCATTGCGATTAAAGACATTTTAACATTCAATATCCCTTTACCGACCAGAATGGTGCCAAAACCAACGCTCAGCACTTCAATACAGCCGCCTCCAGGTCCCAGCGCAAAGCTAGTACTCCCGTCGCGAGACACCAGCCCTAATACCAACCCCACTGTCTTCAACGATGCAATGATAATCCGAAAGGCCGTCTTCATCGACGAGCAGCACTGCACCGCCGACGCCGAGATCGACAGCGACGATGCTCGCAGCTGGCATTGGGTACTATACGACGACTCCGCCGCGACTCCCACGCCGGTGGGCGTAATTCGCCTGGTACCCCCGCCACAGGCGCCTCACGCCCGTCTCACGGAACCGCCAGCGGCGGCAGGAGCGCAGGGAGCGCCCGAATACGACTGGACGCACGAGCCCTGTATCAAGCTGACCCGGGTGGCGATCATGCCGTCGTTCCGCGGCTTCGGACTTGGGCGACGATTAGTGGAGACGGCGCTGGGCTGGGCGGCTGGGCATGCGGCAGAGATAGACGAGGCCGCGGCGCAGATCGCTGCGAGGGGGGAATCACCTGTTACTCTGACTCAGTGGCGGGGGTTGGTCCTTGTGCATGCCCAGGTGGATGTGGAGGGAATGTATGCTGGGCTTGGGTTTGCAACGGATCACTCGTTGGGTCGGTGGAACGAGGAAGGGATTGAGCATGTGGGTATGTTCCGGCGGCTGGTTCTGGATGAATAATAAGGATCTACAGGGGGCAAGTGTAGTCTACGAGTAGAGAAGCTCATATGGTTCAATATCAATTGATTCAACTAGATCGAACTAAATCGAACTAGATATCAGCTCGGGGAATTGCGAAACTTCCACATTCCCTCGAGCATAGGATCAGGGACCAGTAAAGAAGTAACATCAAATGAGATCGCCGCGCAACAAAAACCGACGGGGTATCCTGATCAACGCAACGCAACGCAAAAAAAGCAGGAACAAGAAGTCAACCGGCTGCTAAGGACCGATGAGTATCAACGCAAAGCGAAAAAAAAAAAACAAAACAAAACAAAACAAAAAAAAAAAC